AACAAAAACAAAGTTTAGTGGTTCTTTAAGGAAAGTGAGTGAGTGTGTTTTAGTTTTACACCGCACTCAGCAATATTCCAGCTATATGGCGGCAGTCAGTAAATAATCAAGTCTGGACCAGACAATCCAGTGATCAACAGCATGAGCATCGATCTGGGCAATTAGGAACCGATGACATGTGTCAACCAAGTCAGCGAGCATGACCACCCGATTCCGTTAGTCGCCTCTTACGACAAGCAGAGTCGCTTTTGTGGCAAGCACGGGTTGCTGAAGACCTATTTTACCCCGGATCTACACGGGTCTGGCTAAGGAGAGCCGGGTACAACTCTATAAGGGTCATCACACAGGGGCTTGTAACGCTAAAACTGCCATCAAGGCATATACTATCACTGACGGGGTCTTAGTACTATATAAAAGGATATAGTACTAAGACCCCGTCAGTGATAGTATATGCCTTGATGGCAGTTTTTAGCGTTACAAGCCCCTGTGGGTCATCAAACGTCCTCCACTGAGCGATCATCACCAACAAAAACGTCTGGCTTGGTGCTTGCCGCGGTAAATTTGGAAGTTGAGGACATGGCGAAGAATACATTAGTCTGGTGAAAGCAGATTCCTTCTTCATACTCCTGTTGGACCTGTCAGAGATTGGATGCAGCGAAATACAACATTGAGAGCAAAAACATTCAACTAACCGTTGTCTTTGGTGGGGATTCCGTCATGATGTGGAGGTGTGTCTCTCATGACTGTAAACTTGACTTGGTGACAATACGGGGGAATTTGATGGGTGATCTGCATAACCAGGAAGTGTTGGATCCAGTTGTTGTTCTCCATTTTATAATCATCCCCTTGTTACAAGACCTACATTTATGGATGACATCGCAAGTCCACGCTGTTCTCGTGCAGTGACAGCTTTCATTCAGAATAATGCAGTGACTCGCCTTCCATGGCCCGCCATGCATCAGACTTGAATCCCCTGGAGTACATGTGGGACTTTACCGGGCGACGGATACAAGCACGTGTATCACATGTTCAAAATATGCGTGAGTTGAAAGCAACTTTGCACCAAGAGTGGTGACAGTTGCCTCTGCAACGGATACGAGGTTCTACAAATAAACAAAGGTTACAAATAAACAATTTTGTATTATCACATATGTACGCCATGTTGCCTGGTCCTCTTTCTAGCTCAACACTTGTAACAGGTAACACTTTGAGCCCAGACAGATGATTTGTGTATTGAGCCATTACAAAAGACATGCTGCGTTATCAACGTGGATGCTAGTGTTATTCGAAACATAAAACTTTGTACAAATTAGCAGTGTGTGTGTGTGTGTGTGTGTGTGTGTGTGTGTGTGTGTGTGTGTGTGTGTGTGTGTGTGTGTGTGTGTGTGTGTGTGTGTGTGTGTGTGTGTGTGTGTGTGAGTGAGTGAGTGGTGAGTGAGAAAACAGCCGTTGTACTGTCCGGCCTGACTCTAAGTACTATACGCCTGAAACTACTTGTATATCATACATTGTACATGTGTTTTTTCCAATGCACTATCTTTTATTATTAAGTCATTTTCTATATTTCTGTATAATTCTGCTGAATCACAATCCTAGCAGTCTCCATTTAAAACTCGTTGAACGAGACAATATAAGCTCGTGATCCTTGTTCTAACCCGGGATGTAAATTGAAAACAGACGATGCATTGTGGTAAACAGGCTTGAGGGGAAACTGTTATTGTCCTTGAAATCAGTAGAACAACTTCAAAGCAACACTAAGATGTGTTTGATAAGTTCCCACGAGTTGTTTTTAACTACACGCGTCACTTGTATAAAGCGGCAATTGTAATGTGCTGAGGGACTACAGCGGAGTCTGTGATGACTTCTGTATGATTCACGACTGATCACAAAGGGCTTTAAAATAATTCGACGCTCCTCTAGTTTTCTTTGATTTTTAAATGCATTGATAGGTGTTTCATTGTGCATAAACAAAATAGTCTTTTGAGAATTAAAGTTTTCGTGGAAAGCAGCTGGATCTCAAATCTGATACGTGTTGTTCAGATTTCATTGAAATGTGACATGTATGCACTTTAAACAAGTAAACAAGTTTTTTCATTCCTCCTTCGTGCTGAAGACACTGGGATAACTTCTGTGCTGTTTGTCACGTTACAGTCTACCTCCTGCCCCGAGCTGGCTAAATCCGATGTTGGTACACAGCTTGTCTGTATGTGTGTGTGTGTGTGTGTGTGTGTGCGTGCGTGCGTGCGTGCGTGCGTGCGTGCGTGCGTCCGACATCAGAAATGTGCTTCACACATTGTTCCCACGTGGGGAACCAAACCCTGGTCTTCGGCGTGACGAACGAACGCTTTCACCAGTGAGGGGAACACCATAGCCCCTTAAACATTTATGATGAAGACGCTTGGACAAGTGCTGTACTGTAACATATGTTATATCTGGGATTACACTTTCTTAGTAAAGCACAGATTCTAGTACTTTGTTGGGTTGAGTCCCATTCGAACCCGCACCCTCAGAGTCAGGCACCTAATCGCCAGCACACAAAGTCAGACGCCTAGACCGCTCAGCCACCGCGTCTTCCACAAAAATGGAAGTCGGACAACTGGTAGTCTAGACTGAGTACCCCCGGATACAGCTTTTTAGAGAAAAAAAAGGGGTTGCATACTATTGAGAAAAGGGAGGGTGCACATGTCATTTCCATCCGAGTTTCAATTGTCATTTAATAAACTTTCAGGACAAAAGAGGGGTGCGCACCCCTGCACCCCTTCTGGATGCGCCTATGCCTCTGATAAGTGTTAATTGGCACGGCCCCACGGCCGAAAGCTATGAAATACACAATGCCATTTAAAAGTGGTCATACGTTAATATGTAATCCCACATAAACATATGTTACATTTGACCACTTTCTAAATGGCATTGTGTATTTCATAAGTTGTGTATTCTGACTGTAACGTTACAGTCTACTTCCTGTCCCGAGCTGGGGAAATCCGATGAGGGTATTCAGCGTGTGCGTGCGTGTTTGCGTGCGTTGAAAATGTGGAAGGTTTTTATTATTACAATATGAAAATAATGAGTGGGTGAGTTAATATCATGTGAAGGTAACACACCTTGATGAATGCATGTACATTTCATGTGTTGAGAAGATCATGAAGATAACGTAAACAGGACAAAGTGGTACTATGAAAATAGAAATTCACAAACCAAGTGCCGTACCAACAGTGGAGTAAAACAAAAGAAGTAAGAATAACGACCAAATTCAAATTCTATACACTTACTTTGTACATAACTTTAAGGCTGACTGACTGACTGAGTTTAGTTTTACGCCGCTTTTAGCAATATTCCAGCAATATCACGGCGGGGACACCAGAAATGGGCTTCACACATTGTGCCCATGTGGGGAATCGAACCGGGTCTTCGGCGTGACGAGCCAACGCTTTAACCACTGTGCTACCCCACCGCCCCACATAAATTTAAGAGGGTCATTCACCGACTGTACATGATGCTCCAATCATCAACCTCCCCCTCCCCTTCCAGCCGTAAATTATGACCAGTCCCTAATGTATGATTAGATAATTAGATAGTGCTTTGAAGTGTGTAAACTAACATCGTGAGGACAACTATTTGTTGTCTTTCAAGTGAGCCTTGTGACGTGAAACTAAACTGACGGACAAAAGAGGGTATGCATCCATGTTTGTTGGTGGATAATATTAAAGCAAAACAAGACATGGTAATCCGATGGTGATGTATTTGATAGTGGTGTCACAGTTTTGTTTGAGGCCTTAAGTTTGCGCTTAGGGGTTTACAGCTTAGTACGTTAAAAATAACATTTGTATAGTTTTGGTAAGATCAAATTTCAAGGTCTGTTCTTTCTTTTGACAGGCAGTTTTAAATAAATGCTGTATTAGGCTGTACAGTTATATTTGCATTTTGTTTATGGGGGCGGTGGGATAGCCTAGTGGTTAAAGCGTTGGCTCGTCACGCCGAAGACCGGGTTCGAATCCCCACATGGGTACAATGTGTGAAGCCCATTTCTGGTGTCCCCTGCCGTGATGTTGCTGGAATATTGCTAAAAGCGGCGTAAAACCAAACTCAGTCAGTCAGTCAGTCAGTTGTTTATGGATCCGCTGATTTTAAAATTAACCAAAATCACCAACAACAAAAATTTAAAAAACAAAACACGATTGATATATCTTTTCGACCAACTCACCAAAGTCTTCAATATCAACATCCTTGGTAGAAAGGGAGAAAACTTAAACCGAAGTGTTTAAATTTGTTACCTTGACAAAAGTGAGCGACAGTCATTGCACAATAATTTGTAAACATATAAGACGAGTATATTGATGGCAACTCTTCTTGCCCCTTCTCCAGGTGATTCAATCACCCGAAGAAGGGGCAAGAAGTAGCCTAGAAACGTCGTGTTATACAATAAAGAAGAAGTTACCATCCTGGACTCGTCATATATATTCACCAACTTCTAAATGCCTCTCAAGAATCTCAATTTGTAAACAGTTTCTTTCAAAACGTTCTCCCCATTTGCTTGGTAAACAACTGACTCATTCAGGAAACCGTTGTGAATTGTATTAGCTTCAGACTCTTGTGTAAAAATGATTTGTTTGCTGCGTGTGATCTGTTTGTTAGTCATGTTATAAAAGCGACAACACTTCTAGAACATTCGATATTATTGGTTGTAAACATATTCATATTTTATGGCAACTTCATACATATTAGGTGTCGTTTTATTGATTACAAAGCACTTGCGCTTTTGTCAGTTGGCAGTCTTTTTAGATACATATCACAAAATACATAGAGCCATGCCCCGACTTCTGATCTTAATGTCACGATGTAAACTTTCATTACATTTGACCAAAACAGTAATACACTTTAGAGTTACGCCCCTTTGTAAAGCTCTTTCCCAGCGCGTGGGAGCTTCGTTTCCCACGTGGACTGGGCTCCTTGTCTAATTAGCGGGTTGGTTAAAAGCGTTAGCTTGCTGCGCAAATTAACCGTGGAACCAGTGTTCAATGATGGTGTGGTAATAGTGAGCTCCACGAAGAGCTATCGCTGTGAGGAGTTTGTATGGGGAATCACCATAACTTCAAGGAATACACCCGTACAGTCCGAAACCGAAATGAGGCAGGTGAAGAATATTTTGCCTTGATTACGTACATCCAGGTGTGTGAAGTAAGTATATGTTCCTTCTGGTTTATTCATCTGGCGTTGTCAAGGAGATTTGATGGTTTCCTGCCACCCATTACGCAAAAGACTGAACAGGGAAGTGCCTTCAAGTGGTGATATAGTAATGAGAAACTAAAAACAACAGTAGTGATTCATCACAGACTCTACATCATCCTTTTGAAGTTATTTTCGTATTGGTAAAAATTACGCATTTCTAATATGAATGAAACATAGCGAAAACACACATAAATATCGATGTTCATGGTGTCAGTCATAAAATTGTCTGGTCCATACTCGATTTATATACGCCATATAGCTTGATTATAGTTAAGAGCGACGTTAATAACAAACTAACACTCCCTTTCAACACACAATTTTTTACACATACTCACACTCCCACAGACAAAAACACATACACACAAAAATAAATTGCTTATGTCGATGCCCAGGATGTCAATCATGGGATTGTCTGGTCCAGGCTTGTTTACCTGCAGACAGCCATCATATAGCAGTATTATTACTTAGTGTGATGTTAAACGACAAAATAAACCTTTCGACACTCTCACTGATGCACAGACAATTGGACAGACACACACAGACAGACACTATAAATTGTATGCTTCTCTCTCGAGGGTAATATGGTCTGATATGTATCTTTGTAGCAGTGGTACCTGAGCCGGTGAGCGAGGGATAACACTGCTACAAAGAGTGAGTGAGTGAGTTACTATTTAATGTCACATCTGCTACAAAGACGCGTAATATGTGATATATAATATGTCATGAACATAAACTTGCCAAAGTCTTATAAAAATATTCTGTCATGACTTTTCAGTAAGTGAAGTAAGTTTTCTGAGAATTAAACAAGTTTTCAGGCCTTGATAATTTCTAAGAAATGTTCCATCATGAAGTGTTTCAAGCACTAAAACAGTAGTTCCAAAATCGTTTGTGTTTGATTATGAGAAAATGTGATCAATTGCCTGGTCATTTGGTCACTGCGACCAATCTCCAAATATTTCAATTAAAACCACTAGTTATGGCCCTTATTAAGCATTTCTGGACTTAGTGCTTGTTATCTCCAATGGGAACAGATTTTCTCAGTAACCATCATAGATTGGGAAACCAAATGTGGTATGTTTTTTCAGGACATGAATGTCGTAGTGGAGTAAGAAAACAGGAACCAAATAGAAACAGAACACTGTGGCTGGTAGTGTTGAGAATTGGAAACCAAATCGACTATCGATTATCGGAGCACATGTGGCGAACGATTATCGATTATAATCGAAATATATAAATTTTTAATGTAATCACGAGTTTTAAGCATTTTCCCCAAGGCAATTTCTAATTAATTTCTTTTTTTTAATAACAAATACTGTCATGCAATGAAATGCAAGCATGCAAGAAAGACACTGGAATTGAAATTAAACAATAAAAGTCGTTAAATTTGTACAATGCTTACTTTCATCTTTTCATTGCTTGATTGTTTTATTCTATATCATTAAATATAATATTATATACCATCATTCATGAGTATCCTGAGGCCATGAAACCAAAGTGCATAGCTTTACACTGTTGAGCGCATGTTTGTTCTAATTGAATGTTTCATCAATTTAAATGGTTAGGTGTGTTATGCTAAAACAACAACATTCTGATTAATCGAAAATATGTTTTTATAGTCGATAATTATTTTTAATCCTTCTTTTTCGATCAATTTTCAGTTATTTTCGATCATCGAACACCACTAGTGGCTGGGGACATAGATGACCATGTCTTCTATAATTATATTGCTCCTGTTCTTGTATGTACAGAGGTACAGATAAGCTGTGTATCTGCTGGGTAAGGGACCGTTCATAATTTATGGTGGTGGGGTGGGGTATCTGAAAGAGGAGATGATGATGATTTTAAGGGGGTCACCCATTTTGTTCTGGCCAGCTAGGGGTTGATCAATTTTGAACACACATACTAGGGGGGGTCATCAATTTTGTACATAAAATATGTTTAAAATTATGCTTAGAAATGATGGGTAGGGGAGGGGGGGTCACTGATTTTGTACATGACATGCAGGGGGTCACTTATTTTGTACATAAATTCTAGGGGGGGTCATTCTCATTGTACAAGCTTCTCCATAAAAATCATCATCACCCCCCTAGCCCCTAACGGTCCCTACTTGAGGCATCAATATTGTGGAGTGTGGCTTTAAACAAACAAAACAAACAACAGTGAAGTACATGTATTAATTGAGGCATCAGTGCATGACAATATAAAAACATAACAAATTTACGTCAAAATGTTTCGACTGGTAATTCAAATTAGGAATTGCTAATTTTAAATTTGAAACAAAACACCATTGTTTCCCTTTGTGTATTACTATGTCAATTTATATCCTTTTCCTTTGGTAATATATTGAAATTTAACACTGACTAATTTTGCAGCATATCCTGTTTTGCCTACAGTCTTAAGTGAACAAAGTCGCGATTCAGTGATTTCCTTGTCTGATATGCTAAAAGAGCTACAAAAGTGGCTGACTTCCTATACATCCAGCGTTGTCACACTTCCAATGTGTGCATGTCAATTCAAACAATATTGATATTCTTCTGAGAGGACCCAACGACCCATTCTTTGTGGAGTCACTGATTACATGAAGCCGGGTTCCTGCACGCTGTGAATGTGTGTCAACTGACTGGTCTGACTATTGTTGTGAAGGCCTCAGATCATGTAGATATTTTCAATATAGAAGTTACTTGTTGTACAGTCCTTTGGTTTCATCTGAGACCGATGAATAGCTCACTAACACCAAATCTTTACAATTGCAACGCGAAACCAAATTTTGCACAGTCACATGAAATCGACAGACCAACTCTGATGATTTGTCTCATAATTTTGGACACCCAAATAAAAAGTTGTTTAACAAAGCGATCATTATTTTGTTGTCACCTATCGCACTTTTTACTTTAGGGGAATCACTCACTCACTCACTCACTCACTCACTCACTCACTCCTCACTTGCCCACTCACTCACTCCTCCTCCTCTCTTGCCCACTCACTCACTCACTCACTCACTCTCACTCACTCACTTGCTCACTCACACACACTCCTCCTTGCCCTCACTCCTCCTCACTCACTCACTCACTTCACTCCTCACTCACTCCACTCACTCCTCCTCACTCACTCACTCACTCACTCACACACACTCCTCACTTGCCCACTCACCCACTGATATGTTGCTAAACCTTTCTATAATTATTCATTATCTTCTTCAGAGGCATTTCCCAAAATGGCAAGTTCTGGGGGAGGAAAAGAGGGAGACAAACCTATTCTGGTACAACTGGCCCCTGAGGGCATACAAGCTGCAACAAGCTGGTCACAGATGAGGAACTGGCAAGGAAGCTCCAACAAGAAGAGGAACAGAGATCAACGCAATTTCTAGCGGACCAGTTGCTTTCGCTCAACAACTTGCCGAGGAGATGAATGGACAGGAAAATGGAGCCGCCAGTGATAGTGAGTGTGCTGAACAATTGCAGAAAGAGTTTAATCGCTATCGGGGAATGACGGAAGTGGACTCACTCCTGGCGCAGGCAGCTTCAGAGGCAGGAGGAGGAGGCGCCAGCGCCGGAGACACATGCAGCAGCAACAACAGCTAGGATTTCAACGACTCAGGGGAGGCGTCCCAGAGGTGTGTTTGTTTGTTTCTTGTTTGTTTCTTTGTTTGTTTCTTCGTTTGTTTGTTTGATGCCATGTCCAAGAGGTAAGGCTGGCTATTGATATGGATCATTGTGATCGATAATCAATAACTAAAACTCAATCGATTATCAATAAATATCACAAAGCGTAACTTTGAGCAAAATGTAAAAAATATGTGAAATAAATAAATATTTCACATCACTAGTGATTGAGTGAGTTTTTGCATCTATTACCGACAAAACAGTGTCCAGAACATAATTTAGAAGCAGACCATGAATAAAGTCCTAAAATTGTATTTTGAGTGGGAAAATTAAAACTTTTATCCATCACAAAAGTTAATGTACTATAATATCAATAACACAATTTTCGTATTGATAATCAATAATAAATTCTCCTACTGACGATATTTCCGATTATCGATAATTTAAGCCAGCCCGACATCAGATTTTCAAAGTTCAGATTAAAATTTGGAATTATTTTAAAAAGTGTACCTCTCACAACATGTGTTACGCAAACACTCATCCACATGGCTATATTTATATATATATTTTACTTGTGAAAGTTTACACTATATTCTAGGTCAGAGAGAGAGATAACTCAAAGTACATGAACGGTCAAGTTCCATAATTCTGTGTTGGATTTCAAATGGAGCATTTCGGACCTGACTTTACACATTCATGCCGTTTTTGTCATGAAAGAAGTAGAGGTATTCCGATGATCGAAAATCGATTATTATTATCGATTGTAAAACACACATTTTCGATTAATCAGAATTTGGTTGTTTTAGTATAACACACTTGAATGAAGTAAACTAACCATCAAATCTGACGAATATTCACGAACAAACATGCGCTCAACAGCGTAAAGCTATGGGAATTGCAAAATTTTAACCACTTTTATTGTGTTACAATTCCAGTGTCATTCTTGCATTAGTGCATTTCATTGCATGACAGTATTAGTTATAGGAAACATTAATTAGAAAAAAACCTGGGGATTTGCTTTCCGATTCCCAACACTAGAAAGAAGTGTAAACACACTATCTTTCTGAAAATTAGGGATTTTATGTTGTTGTAATTTGTATTCATTGTAATAATATAAAACATCTTTATCTGTACTTGAATACTCTTTTATCCCGACATAACCTCACAAAATGAGAAATGCCAGTCTCTTTTATCTGTACCGATCCTCAAAAATGATGAAATGATTATCACTTTCAGCGATGCGTTACCTCAAAAAATGATAAATGGCAGTTTCTTTATCAATGATAAAATGCCAGTCTCTTTTATCTGTACCGATCCTCACAAAATGATCAAATGATTATCACTTTCAGCGATGCATTACCTAAAAAAATGATAAATGGCAGTTTCTTTATCATTGATAAAATGGTAGTCTCTTTTGTCATTGTTTTTCCATGCATAATCTCACAATATGATAAACTGCAGTCTCTTTTGTCACAACATAACCTGACAAAATAATAAAATGACAGGTCTCCTTTATCACTAGCTGACCTCACAAAATGATAAAATGACAGGTCTCCTTTATCACTAGCTGACCTCACAAAATGATAAAATGACAGGTCTCCTTTATCACTAGCTGACCTCACAAAATGTAAAATGACAGGTCTCCTTTATCACTAGCTGACCTCACAAAATGATAAAATGACAGGTCTCCTTTATCACTAGCTGACCTCACAAAATGATAAAATGACAGGTCTCCTTTATCACTAGCTGACCTCACAAAATAATAAAATGACAGGTCTCTTTTATCACTAGCCGACCTCACAAAATGATGAAATGACAGGTCTCTTTTATCACTAGCTGACCTCACAAAATGTAAAATGACAGGTCTCTTATATCACTACTTGAGCTCACAAAATGATAAAATGACAGGTCTTTTTTATCACAACATTACTTGGCAAAATGATAAAATGGTAGTCCCAGTATTACAGAAGGCAATGCACAGAGATGTCCTTAAACACCATGTGTATTACCGTAAACTATGGTAATGAGTGAGTGAGTGAGTTTAGTTTTACACCGCATTTAGCAATATTCCAGCAACATCACGGTGGGGGATACCAGACATATTCTTCACACATTGTACCCATGTGGGGAATCAAACCCGGGTCTTCGGCCTGACGAGTGAACACTGTAACCGCTATGCTACGCCACCGCCCCTACGGTGATGACAGACACTCAAACTGACTATTAATTTGAGTTAGTTGCAACCATAGTTTGTTATGCGCATTTAGACTAAAATCTACAAAAATAATAAAAACGGCAAGGACAAGATCCCAGTACCATGCATCAGTCATTCCATTATGAACATGTTTGTTATAACATTGTTTACTATATCGGTGAAGATCTCTGTTCCAGGTGGGCCAGTCTGATGCAGATGTTGGTCACCAGGGGGCAGGCCTCCGACCCCGTGTGATCGGACACCCTCAAAGAGTGACTGTGGTTCAGAGTGGGGGACCAGCAAGGAACTTCGTACAGTTCGCCTCGGCGCATCCGTTCAGGAGACAAAGATTTCCGATCCGACACCAACAGGCTGCCGGTAACATACACAGAGAACATTTTGTGGGATGTTGTTTCAATTTCAAATTATATGTCCATGTTTTAATTGTTTATGTCAGTGAAGACGACACATGACATCCTTACCTTGTTTTCTTGTATCCCAATTTGATCACTGGATTGTCTGGTCCAGACTTGATTATTTACAGACTGCTGCCATATAGCTGGAATATTGCTGAGTGCGACAACATGCTGAAATCTTCAAAGTGTCGCGCGTGACCTTGAAAATTACATGAAGGTCATCAAAATCGACTGGTTCCTGCAAACAAACCAACCTTGTCAGCTTGCTCACAGAAACATCCATATATCATTAGAAGATCAGAAGGTCCGCAGTTTGATTCCAATCACAGGTGTTGGAAATTTTATGGTTGCTACAGCTACAGGGTTCACATAGGCTTAAAAAAGACTGAAATTTGTATTTGTTTTCTCTTAAAAGGACTTAAAATTGTTTTAGCCTTGAAAAGGCCCTAATTGCCAGTGATTTGGCCTGAAGAGGATCTATATTTAGCCAAAGATGTCAAGTTCTAATTTTACAGGAAAATAATGCATGATAAAAATACTTTTTACAGTGGGTGTTAAGTAATCTCCATCGTGAAGCAAAACTTTCCCGATGTAGTGATGTAGCAGAGAGTTATTTCCCTTTGATGGTCGGCCACACATTTGACCAACCTTGTGTGTATTCAACTACTTATGAATTTAGTTTTACGCCGCTTTTAGCAATATTTCAGCAATATCACAGCGGGGGACACCAGATATGGGCTTCACACATTGTACCCATGTGGGGAATTGAACCGGGTCTTCGGTGTGACTGAACGAATGCCTTAACCTCTTGGCTACCCCACCGCTGAGTTGACACTATAAAACTTACAGGACGGACAGGAATATGCATACAAAGTGTTAAAACTCTTAGCCCAAAATCACACAGAAATTGCGAGGTAAACTTCTGTGTTTTGTGTCAAAGATTTCATGTAGTTCCTAAGGACAAGATTGTAAGTTGGCATAATTGTGGTAACCATGGTAACCTATGTTGTCTACAGCCCAGCTCCCAGATGGAGAGTTTGACCCGAGACAATGCTATTGTCCATTGGAGGCGGCATGAACAGCGATTTCATCAACATCATGGTGAGCGATAATTTGCATTACTGGCGACAACAATTGATTTAAAGTTACGCTGCACTTTCTTGTTTAATGACATTTGTCCTAAATAATTAGTTGGTTGAGCTATTGTTTACCTGAATATAGAATATTTATATTCTCATGGAAACGAGTAAGGGAACACATGAAAGTGCAAGTGTTCCTTTATTCTTTTCCAGGTTTCTTCACAAGCTTTGTATTGCACTGTGGGTGAAATTCTGGAAATAAATAAAGGAACACTTGTACTTTCATGCGTTCCCTTATTCGTTTCCATAAGTATATATGTATTTAAAAAGTACTTATTTTGGTTCGTTTGTTTTTGTGGGACAAGCATGTGCTCATTCTATTCAGTTGCAGTGTGAGGCGACTAACGAGATCGATTGGTCAGACTCGCGGACTTGGTGGACACATGTCATCGTATCCCAAATACGCATATAGATGCTCATGATGTCATTCACCGGATGTGTTTTATCCTGATTTGATTATTTTCATATATAGCTGAAATATTGCAGAGTTCACATTCTGCTAGTCCCAGACAACTAAACTGGGCTGCCAAATCCAATGGTAGTCCTCGTTGATTAGTGGGATTTGAGAGCCATGAACCAATGCTTCAATTTTGCTCCAAATTCGAGCTGAATGTGAAGGATATACTATTTTAACCAAATTCTTATCTGGCTATTCTGCATGTGTTGCAGCAAGACCCAATGCTGTTGGTGATGGCGATGAGCCGGGCAGCAGACTTCACGGGCAATGAGCAGAACGTGGATGTCAGTGACTACGATGTGAGGAAATCCTTCTCGGAATACTTTACAATGTTTCGTACAAACCAATCTCTGAGAGGGCGGTGGGGTAGTCTAGTGGTTAAGCGGGTCATGCTGAATACCTAGTGGTTCCCCACATGGGTACAATGTGTCATGTATGGTTTCCTCCGCCATGATATTGCTGGAATATTGCTAAAAAAAAATAAACTAATTAATTCAATCTCTGAGCAGACTGTTGATGATAGTTGTCTATGGGTTGAATAACTGAATAAGTGATTTGGGTCTGCACTGCAAATCATATGGAATCATTAAGGAGACAAACATTATATGTTTTCTGATTTGGGTTTCTATTGAGTGTTCAGTGCCTTGAAAATTTATCTTAAATTAAAATGTTACTCTTTCCTGGCATTGAATTATCAATAAAAGCTGCAAATTTGAAAACCTGGTAATATCAGCATGTTAAAAATTTGATGAAATCAAAATACATGATAGTGTTCGGAATCGGAAACCAAATCCAGTATTGATTATCGGAGGATTGTGGTGAACGATTATCAATTGTAATCGAAATATATACATTTTTAATGTAATTTACAAGTTTATGGGTTTTCAACATTCTTTTTTCAAATTAATGTTGTTGTTTTTTTTATAACCAAAGGTGTCATGCAATGAAATGCACGCATGCAAGAAAGACACTGGAATTGTAATTAAACAATAAAAGTGGTTAAAATTTTACAATGTGCACATTTTTACGCTGTTAAGAGCATGTTTGTTCGTGAATATTCGTCAACTCTGATGGTTAGTTTACTTCATTCAAGGGTGCTATACAAAAACAACAAAATTCCGATAAATCGAAAATATGTTTTTCACAATCGATAATCATTTTTAATCCTTCTTTCGATTGATTTTCGATTATTTTCGATCATCGGAACATCACTACTAGATGATGCCACATACCCCCTTGAAACCGTTACGATAGGGAGCTTTATTTTAAAGGTCACATGCAACCAACATAATTAAAACACAATTATCACTTATTCATGACATATAATATACATTGCTGATTGTGCAAAAAACAAATAAACAAAATTATAAGCGTACAATCGCAAATCAAAAGTGCAATAATTGGTCCTTGGGTTGGCATCATTCCTCCAGCCCCCCAGTCAGAGCGGTTGGGTGTGCACTCAACTGTAACGAAGTGTTTCATTGGCTGGTTCATTTGCCAATAGGCTGAGGGCTCATTGTGTGTGTATATATAGAGATGTTGGGTTTTGTAAATACATGCTCATTTTTTCTGCATTTGCGTTTGATCAAATCAACAAATACGGAGATGGTGAACTACTGCGTGGCTGGAAACTGTCGTTTGTTCAAGCAGGACTTGAAACTGACAATCTGAGTTTGCACCGGTTTCCATCCGATCCAGTCATCCCGAGAAAAATGGATGCAGTTTGTTTGCAACCCACACACATAATAACATGTCATGTGTACAAGTATCACACCTGCCTGTCTGTGTAATTACATTATGTGACAGAGACAGAACTTAGGTGCACGAGCCATAAATCAATGTATTTTGGCACATTTACAATTTTGGCCTATAAGATTTTTTAAATTTTATTTTTTGAGCGGGGAAAATAAATTTTTATTTTTTATTATTTTTCTTGAAAAATAGGACCAGTGGATCTGTTAAAACAAGAAATAAGATTGGTCTGGCCGTAACAGAACATCTATAATTATCCCCCGAAACGCGTTTTGCTGGGGGTATTAAAATGGAGTCCGTCCGTCCGTGCACATTTGTCTTTTCCGGAGCATAACTCTAAAACCGTTCACTATTTCTTTACCAAACTTGGCACATAGATTGGTCTGGTGGTGTTCTGGTGCCTTTTGGTAGTTTTTGAATTCTGAATAAAATATTTTTGGCATTTCCATGGCAACAAGTTCGACTTAGCCTGAAATTGGTGGTAGTGCTCTTTTCCGGAGCAGAACTCTAAAACCGTTCACTATTTCTTCACCAAACTTGGCACATAGATAGATCTGGTGGTGTACTGGTGCCTTTTGGTAGTTTTGGAATTCCGAATAAACTATTTTTGGCTTTTCCGTGGCAACAAGTTTGACTTAGCCTGAAATTGGTGGTAGTGGTCTTTTCGGGAGCAGAACTTCAAAAACCTTTCAATACTCTCCTTCCACTTTTCTATATACACACCTAAATATTTGACATAATCATAACTCATAGACATAATCATGAAGAGTATTTTGCCATTGCGGGGGATATTGATGACTTTGTCTTCTTGTTGCAGTTGTCTAGTTTTTGGGTAGGCATCAAATTAGTTTCTTTAGTATTTTCCTGTACAAATTATGTTTTAAGAGGCAAACCTTTGAATGTTGATTGGTTGGCTGTATTGCTTGTATTGATTGTGTTCAGGGCCTGTGGGAGTTGGCAGAGAGGCTGGGGGAGGTTCAGCGGAAGGGGGTCAGTGAGGAGGAGATCGGGAACCTGCCCACACATTCATTCCAGGCAGGTGCTTCAGCAGCCCAGAACACAGACTGCCAGGTGTGTCTGACTGCCTTCCAGCCGGGGGAGACACTCCGCACTCTACCCTGTCTACACGAGTATCATAGCGAGTGCATTGACGAGTGGCTGAAGGTAGGTGCCTGATCATATACTTTAACTGGCCACCCAATGTGACAGATAAGTCACCCCCCAATGTGACAGATAAGTCACCCCCCAATGTGACAGATAAGTCATCACCCCCCAATGTGACAGATAAGTCACCCCATGGGGTTCAACAGTCTCTCCAAAGCAGCAATTATAGTCAGAATAAATAGTATCTTAAAATAACATTTGTGCTGTCCTCAATATCTTAAAGGCACAATGTAGAGCTTTTTCGCTTTTTCGTCTATAATATATATATATACTGGGGCATATGCACTCACTTCAGCTTCCTATTGATACGACCCTTCAGTGGTGTAGTGGTTAGAGCGTCCGCCCGGAGAGCGGAAGGTTGCAGGTTCGATCCCCGACCACGTCATACCAAAAGACGTTAAAATATGGTACTTGTTGGTCCCTGCCTGGCGCTCGGCTTTAATGGGTACAGCAAGGACTGGTCGGCTCGGAGTCAGTATAATGTGTCTGAGTGGGGTATTCATGCTTCACTGCGGCATTGTATCTCAGTAGGCTAGCACTATAAAACCAGCTTAAGTCTGGGCTAGTACATGCAGCCGCACCTACACCTACACACGCATGCACGTCGTCATATGAGCGAAATATTCTCCAGCGCGACGTTAAACCCAATTTCACCTCACCTCACCCCCTATAGATATAATAAAAGACTTACGACTTGCCTGAAATCGATAATTGAAACTTCAAGGCGAACAGCTTCCAAACAGAGAACACTTGCCATATATGGAATGTAAATGATTGCTCCTTACATCGAAAACTGTTGCACACGTTGTTGTCAGTCTTTGCCGAACTGGCCTCAATCACATGTTGTGTTATAGGATATTCATAAAGAGCGTTCCAAGGTACATAACTCTATGGGGTTTGCTTGAAATAACGTTTGGTCGGTAGAGGGTGCGAGAGTCGATTTAATGCAACGTTGCATTAATTCATTCAAACTTTTTAATCTCATATTGCAATCTTAATACGTAATTTTTTCCCGGAATAAATGAAATTGCAGTTTTGCTGGGGGCTGACAGTATTAATGAGACAAATGCAATGTTGATTTTTAGTGTGGCATGATGGTGTGCCCAGAGCTCCAGATTAGATTTAGCTCATGTGGGTACTGTACCCACTGTAATTTTTTGGAGTGAGTATTATGAATGTTGAGTTGGTATTTCATTTTCAGTTACCCACTGCTTTCAAATATGTGTGTATTTCAGTCATTTTACTCACCTAAGTATTATGTCATTGAGTAAGTTTACTAAGCAGGTATGTCCTGCCTTTTATCATACCTAATCAAAACCAACTTAAATATAATGGAAATGATTTCATAAAAAAATCGCTTATCCGATACTGACAGTACAACACTAGTCCTATACTAACAGTACAACTGGATAGCAATCGATGTCTTTTTGATTACGAATGCGATTTTTATAAATATATTCTGTAAGCATTTTTTTTAAACATTTTGCATATCTAACAATTTAAATGCTTAATTGGTACGCAACAATTATTTTTCAAAGCATAATTGGAAATTTTCTATGCATATTTTACCCGGATACACAGCTTATCTTGGCCTCTGTGTGCCTTTAATTAATTCCATTTAACTAGTTACTTTAACTAGCCACCCACTGTGACAGATATGTCATCCCATGGGGTACAACAGTCTCTCCAAACCAGCAACTGTTTTCACTCATAGAAATCTAAAGGATATAAACATAACATTTATGCTGTCATGAATATTTCAAATTCCATGAAATGGATTCTCCCAACATTTGCTTCCAACATTGTGTCCAAGTATAAGCCAAGATAAGTCATGTTTGTTTGTTAGGTGTTTACCGCCACACTCAGCAATACTCCAGGTAGATCAGCAGTCTGTAAATACAGGGCTCCAGATAATTTTTCAATATCAGGAGTACGTACTCCATATTTTTTCACTACAGGAGTACTGGAAAACCTTAAGAGTACTGAGTGGAATTTAATGGCGTATCAGTAATCTTGTGTTTCGTTTCATATCTGCACCACAACATTGATAGTCTTGTGTAAACAGGTCAATAAACAATAAACCAATATTTTTTTCAGATAAATATGTCTGTAAATGATTCTAAGACCGTACACCATTGCTGTGGTGCGTACCTGCTACGTTTTCTAAATATTTGCTACCGTATCGTGCATATTTTTTATCCGTACATACGCCGATACGGCCCTTATCTGGAGCCTTGAAATAACTAGGTCTGGACCGGACAATCCAGTGATCAACAGCATGAGCATCGATCTACACATTTGGGATACAGTGACATGTGTCAGACAATTCAGCAAGCGCGACCACCCGATCCTGTTAGTAGCCTCTTACTAATGAGTCATTTGCATAATGACGGAAATTTGTTGTTGCAGAGAAACGCCACGTGCCCGATATGTCGGCAGGATGTCAGACAGTGATAGAGCATCTTCAGAGGTCATTGGAGGTCATCACATACACAGACAATACTTACTAGGGCAGCGGACAAGTCGCTCTGATTGTGAGAAATTATGTCTGTACAAGCCGCACAGACTAGCTGATGATAAATGTTGGCCAAAATGTCTTTGTATTGATGTTGACGGATTTAAGAATGGGAATCTCACGAAGTGACATTTGATGTGAAATATTTCGACACAAGTTGATATATTTTATTTCAAATGACACTTCTGTGAGCTCATCCAAAATCATTCTTCCATTTGTAAACAGTAACAATCAGAGTCTTGAATGTAAAACCTACAGCTACGGAGATTAGTGATGTCACGTGATTGTGCTGTCATGGTAACCAATGACATCAAAGCGGTCTTCAAGTCTTCAAAGCATTGTGATACAATTTAATTGCAGCAAAATCCCCAAGGAGATATCACTTGATATCTGATACTTGATCAGGTATCTCCAATTCTGGCATTCATAGAAGATATCACTGTATCAGATAAAATGCCAGTTTTGGTAAATAATTTAAAGAACAGCATCTCAGAATCAGGCACATAATCGCGAGTCAGCCATCTAACCTACTCCAGAGATGCCAACCTCTACGATTTTATCATAGTCACTACTAATTTTAGCTCAAACTACGCCAATACGAGTGCACTAGAAATTCTACGAAATTTGAAGAAAATTCATTAAAATTCGTATATATAGACAAAACATAAATTTCCGTCATTTCGCCAAAAGGAGATGACAAGAAGAAATGTAATGCTTATAATTTTGAAATCTGCTGTTGGATCGTCACGCCGAAGACCGGGGTTCGAATCCCCACATGGGCACAATGTGTGAAGCCCATTTCTGGTGTCCCCACCGTGATGTTGCTGGAATATTGCTAAAAGCGGTGTAAAACCAAACTCAGTCAGTCAGTGTGTCATTATCTTTCCAGAATCCATCATGATTTTAAGTATTTAGTTGACTACTAATTTTATGGTCAAACTACTAATTTTAATCCTTGAAGCTACTATTTGCAACACTTTGGGGTTGGCATCTCTGCATCTCTGCTACTCAGCCACCGCGCCTTCCACAAAAATGATAGTCGGACAACTGGTAGTCTCGATCACATACTTTTATAAGCTGAGGCATTAGAAATGATTTGTTGACATGTCATGGTGATAGCTTTCAAGTTAAGCTAAGCCTGAGTATATGAAAAATGAAACAAATAATGTGAAAGTGATACATATTGTTCTGTATAACCAGAATAATTGTCTCAGTCAACCTATATTGAATACTTTGAGTTAATAGATTATTAACTGAAACAAAACTCCAAGGACTGGAAATGTAACTGATCCTGGTCACTCTTTGACACTGTTCTGGTAAACTTGAGTATACTGCTAGTTTCAGTCCATGATGTTTTATGTGTTTGTTTTATTGTGTTTTATTGTTCACTGATATTTGAATTCTCTGACGACCAGAGAAACTGACTTCTTGCCACTTCATCGTGTTCATAAACCATAGTTTTAGAAGATTGTAGGTGAGCTTGAGGAGGTGCCAAAAATTCAAAGATGAATTTTTAAAAAAACAAACCATGACAGTATGGGCAACTATATGCTTTAAGCACTTGTAATAGTGCTGGAGTAATTTGACTGGATAATCAGCCAATCTATCTTACTTGTGTCAGATATTAAAGATATACTTGGAGACTAATTAATCCTCATAAAATATGAAACATCAAATTAAACTTTACATAGTATTATGTTGGTTAAAGCAAGACATAAACTTATTACTCGCTGGTGGAAAATACTGCAGTGTAATATATTTACGGCAATATTACACTAGTGTAATACCGCTAGACGGATGACGCCATAATGTTACGATAAGCTGAGAGTCATCACACTGTCGGCAGTTTCTATCAGTTGATGTTGGCGAGTAATAAACAGAATACTTAACTCGCTTCCCAGAAATACCAGTTTTATTAAACTCGTGAAAGAATCATTAACTCGTTTAATAAAAATTAATGGTATTACACGGAAGGTCGTTTAGTATCCTCTATATATTTACGGCAATATTACACTAGTGTAATACCGATAGACGTATGACGTCATAATGTTTACAGGCATGACGTCACAATGCTAATACATCTGTCACAATGGTATTAGAGCTTGCTTGACTCAGGGAAAGCTGAGAGTCATCACACTGTAAGCAGTTTCGCCGCAGTTTCTATCAATTTATGTCGGAGAGTAATCAACAGAATACTAAACTCGCTTCCCAGAAATACCAGCTTTATTAAACTCGTGAAAGAATCATTAACTCGTTTAATAAAATTAATGGTATTACACGGAAGGTCGTTTAGTATCCTCTATATATATTTACGGCAATATTACACTAGTGTAATACCGATAGACGTATGACGTCATAATGTTTTACAGCTATGGCGTCACAATGCTAATATATCTGTCACAATGGTATTAGAGCTTGCTTGACTCACGGAAAGCTGAGAGTCATCACACTACAGGCAGTTTCGACGCAGTTTCTATCAATTTATGTCGGAGAGTAATCAACAGAATACTAAACTCGCTTCCCAGAAATACCAGTTTTATTAAACTCGTGAAAGAATCATTAACTCGTTTAATAATATTAATGGTATTACACGGAAGGTCGTTTAGTATCCTCTATATATTTACGGTAATATTACACTAGTGTAATACCGATAGACGTATGACGTCATAATGTTTTACAGCTATGACGTCACAATGCTAATACATCTGTCACAATGGTATTAGAGCTTGCTTGACTCAGGGAAAGCTGAGAGTCATCACACTGTAAGCAGTTTCGCCGCAGTTTTTATCAATTTATGTCGGAGAGTAATCAACAGAATACTAAACTCGCTTCCCAGAAATACCAGTTTTATTAAACTCGTGAAAGAATCATTAACTCGTTTAATAAAATTAATGGTATTACACGGAAGGTCGTTTAGTATCCTCTATATATATTTACGGCAATATTACACTAGTGTAATACCGATAGACGTATGACGTCATAATGTTTTACAGCTATGACGTCACAATGCTAATACATCTGTCACAATGGTATGTATATAAAATGTTTCCCATCGCATTGTATTCGGAGAGGTATTTCTATAGGCTTATAGCATTTTTACCAATCCGTTCATTTAATAATGAATAAATATTGTTTAAATCACAATGGTATTACACGGAAGGTCGTTTAGTATCCTCTATAACTGAGGCAGTTTCCTGACTCCTAAAACTGCAATGTAAACAACATACTCGCATGGGTGTCTCAACAGTGGGTATCCTCAGTCGTCCTGATCATGGTATTAATCAGTGCCTGTTTCGTTCGCACAAAACCCGTGAAGATCCGGGTTAGAATTGGTCTTCATCAACCCATGCTTGTCGTAAGAGGCGACTAGGGGATTGGGCGGTCAGGTTCGCTGACTTGGTTGACACATGTCATCGTATCCCGGTTGCGTAGATCGATGCTCATACTGTTGATCCCTGGGTTGCCTGGCCCAGACTCGATTATTTACAGACCGCCGCCATATAGCTGGAATATTGCTGAGTGCAGCGTAAAACTTAAATCACTCACTCACTCCTTTGCACAATGTTATTGTTTGTCCCGTTATTGGCCACATGGGTTTTTTGGTGGGGTTTGTGATTACAATTGATTATTGATCTATTACTGAGCTCTGATTATCGATCTGCATTTTGAGAGCAATAACCGCTACGAATATATTATAATGTCGTGGATAATAAAAGTGACCTTGATGGAAAGAAATCCATGGAAAATTCTGATCTATGAAAATATGTCATGTGACTGTTCTACATACTGACTGACTGACTGACTGAGTTTAGTTTTCGCCGCTTTTAGCAATATTCCAGCAATATCACGGCGGGGGACACCAGAAATGGGCTTAACACATTGTGCCCATGTGGGGAATCGAACCCGGGTCTTTGGGTGTGACGAGCCAACGCTTTAACCACTAGGCTACCCCACCGCCCCGTTCTACATACAGTTGGCCACAATATCCACTGAGGTAGGACAGGTTTCCTTCTTGCAGTGTCATGCATTCATATCCCGAATTCCTCCCCGAGAGAGTGAGTGAGTGAGTTTAGTTTTACGCCTCCCCAGCAATGGATATGGCGGCGATCTGTAAATGATCAAGCCTGGACCAGACAATACAGTGATCAACAGCATGAGCAATCGATCTGCGCAATTGCGAACCGATGACGTGTCAACCAAGTCAGTGAGCCTGACCACCCGATCCCGCTAGTCGCTGCTTACGACAAGCATGGGTTACTGAAGATCAATATTCTTACCCGGATCTTCAAGGGTAAATTCCTCCCCGAAGGGGTGGTGGGGTAGTCTAGTGGTTAGAACGTTCGCTTGTATATATATACACGTTGCAATCTGTCATGGGTTGTGTGTAAAGCAACACAGCCTTCCATATGTGGGTGTTTTATCTTTGAAAATACGGGTTAGAACTAATAACAAGCAGCCCATGCTTGTCCTGAGAGGCGACTAACAAGATCGGGTGAGCAGGTGAGGTGAAGTGAGGTGAAATTGGGTTTAACGTCGTACTTGAGAATATTTCGCTCATATGACGAAGTGCATGTGTGTGTATGTGTATGTGCGGCTGCTTGTACTAGCCCAGACTTAAGCTGGTTTTATAGTGCTAGCCAACTGAGATACCATGCCGCAGTGAAGCATGAATATCCCACTCTGACACATTATACTGACTCCGAGCCGACCAGTCCTTGTACCCATTAATGCTGAGCGCCAGGCAGGGACCAAGAAGTACCATATTTTAACGTCTTTTGGTATGATGTGGTCGGGGATCTAACCCGCGACCTTCCTCTCTCCGGACAGACGCTCTAACCACTACACCACGGAGGCGGTCTCGGGTGATCAGGCTTGCTGACTTGGTTGATACACCATCGTCTTGCAGTTTGTAGAGTGATGTTCATGATGTCAATCACTGGATTATCTGGTCGATTATTTATAGCCCACCGCCATACAGCTGGAAAACTGCTGAGTGCGGCATTAAAAACAACCAACCCCAAATGCGAGTGTTCTTTAAACTGTTTTAAGTCGTATACGTTCATTTTCAACATGGGCCTTTTTTATTGAAATATATTTGTTGCATGGCATCAATGTGATTAAACTATTTTTATATTAGGAACAGTTTTGCCAATGTGTGAAAGATGTGTGCCCTAGAGTACCCTTTAAAGAATAACATATCATTGCGTTTATTCAGATTTACTCATCACGAAAAGTATTGGTTTATTATTTACTTCATGTTTTTTATATATATATATATATATACTTGCAGGCAAAAGAAACTATACACTTGAAAATTCAAATTAGCCAAATGATTATCAACATTATTAAAGTTTTAGGGCTGAGAATGCAAAAAAAACACCATGTATCTAATGTTCATCATGTACAAACATATTGCAAAAACTGGGTGCCAAAACTAAGGTTGACGGACTGATCAATAAAAAATGTTTTCTTGATGTAAGTGTTTTAGTCCCATTCACAACAACCACAAGACTTTTTAGGGAAGATCACGCACCCATCAAGGGCAAAGGGTGTTTTCGGACGTTAAATGCATGTATATTTTAGGCCTTGTCACAACAACCACACGAATTCCTAGCGAAGATCACGCACCCATCAGGGGCAAAGGCTGCTTGGGCGATAAATGCTTGTATTGTGCTAAAACAAATAGAGCGCCCGAACATATACTAGTACATGTATTCGGTCCAAACAAAAGTACTCGCATTGGAGATGCTTGAACGACCCTGTGGAGGAGCTCGTGGTGTAGGAACCGTTTAGGCCTGTAGTTAATAATTTACACAGTCAAAACAAGGTCGAGTTGCTAAGGTTTGTTTCTTTGGTAACTCTATCAATATGTATATGATGTGCTTGTTTTAAGATGGTTTCTAACATATTTATTGCCTATCGTGATTGTTTTCGTTTTCGTATGTTTTACATCATTTATCGGATTCTGCCTTCACTGTTGATGACATTGTCATTTGATATTGCTGTATAAAGGAAAACGGAACTACCTGCCTTTCTTCTCTTATTTATGGCTACAGATACTCGGGTACGTTCGGGACCACTCGACTTATTCCGTAACAGCCATGGTGTATGTGTGATTTTTGCACTGTAATCAGCATTTTCTGTATTCTTAAGAGATGGAACTGTCTTGTTTCCTTGGATAGCGGTTGGATCAATTGGACAAAACAGAGACTTGTCGGCTTGAAGTATGTGTCTGACCTGGGTGTGTCGTTGGACTAGCACTATCAAACCACGTAAAATCTCCAAATCATCATCACCATCATCATAATCATCATCACCATCATTGTCATCACCAGACTTGTAGAGACACTGACGCAATACCTGCACTTTCTTTTATAAGTGCCATAATGTTTCAGTGACTATGGTTTCACACTGCCTTTAGCAAAATCCCAACACTGTCACGGCGGGGGACACAAGAAATGGGTTTGACACATATTGGGAATCGCATCCGGGCCTTTGGCGTGAAACGCGAACGCTTTGAACATTAGGCTACTTCACTGTCCAGCGCAGCGAGGAACTATTTGAACTGAAACACACATGGGAAGGGTTGAAGTCGTAGTGTCATCGGTAACATTTTATTGAAACAACATTAACAAGAATGTCGACTTGCGGCTTGGTCAACCCCGGAACAGGGAATCCAGAGCAGGAACTACAGGTTTGTTGCAGTTGTCTTTGACGCAACAGAAGTGGCATGTAAAGTCGTCATTTACAGGAACAGCTACGTTAAGACCCGTGCACTCGCTCCTGTCCGAGGTTTGGTGCCACCATTTTGTCTTACATTCCTCCACAGTAGCGCATCTGTTTAGTTCAAACAACAAGAACATTTCAAACTACAGGAGAATTTCAAACTACGGGAAATTTCAAACAACGGGAACATTTCAAACTAGAACATTTCAAACAACGGGAACATTTCAAACAACGGGAACATTTCAAACAACGGGAACATTTCAAACCACGGGAACATTTCAAACAACTAGAACATTTCAAACAACGGGAACATTTCAAACAACGGGAACATTTCAAACAACGGGAACATTTCAAACAACGGGAACATTTCAAACAACTAGAACATTTCAAACAACGGAACACAAACAACTAGAACATTTCAAACCACGGGAACATTTCAAACAACGGGAACATTTCAAACAACGGGAACATTTCAAACAACATTTCAAACAAGAACATTTCGGGAAACAAACAACGGGAACATTTCAAACAACGGGAACATTTCAAACAACTAGAACATTTCAAACAACGGGAACATTTCAAACAACGGGAACATTTCAAACCACGGGAACATTTCAAACGGGAACATTTCAAACCACGGAACATTTCAAACAACTAGAACATTTCAAACAACGGGAACATTTCAAACAACGGGAACATTTCAAACAACAAACAACGGGAACATTTCAAACAACTAGAACATTTCAAACCACGGGAACATTTCAAACAACGGGAACATTTCAAACAACTAGAACATTTCAAACCACGGGAACATTTCAAACCACGGGAACATTTCAAACCACGGGAACATTTCAAACAACGGGAACATTTCAAACAACTAGAACATTTCAAACAACGGGAACATTTCAAACAACTAACATTTCAAACAACGGGAACATTTCAAACAACACGGGAACAACATTTCAAACTACGGGAACACGGGAACATTTCAAACAACGGGAACATTTCAAACAACGGGAACATTTCAAACAACTAAAACCACGGGAACATTTCAAACAACGGGAACATTTCAAACAACGGGAACATTTCAAACAACTAGAACATTTCAAACTACGGGAACATTTCAAACAACGGGAACATTTCAAACCACGGGAACATTTCAAACTACGGGAACATTTCAAACAACAGGAACATTTCTAACAAGAACACTTCAAACAACAGGAACATTTCAAGCAACAGGAACAATCAAACAACAGGAACATTTCAAGCAACAAGAACATTTTATCTGTTGTATTACATTTACGCTTAGTCTCTGAAAATATGTTCTCATGGAAACGAATATGGGAACATTTGAAAGTGTAAATGTTGCTATATCTATTTCCGGACGATTTTAATCTAGAACACAATCTTGCATGGCTTGGTGGAAGGGATAACAAAGCTTAGGGACTATGAGGCAGACTTCTGTTGTATCTATGCTTTGCCGAATGCGGTTTTGAACAATATATAGCAGTGGCAGCTTATCGCCATCCTTGTATATCTAAGTCATCTTAATATGGAAGACCGCCTCCGTGGTGTAGAGGTTAGAGCGTCCGCCCGGAGAGTGGAAGGTCGCGGGTTCGATCCCCGACCGGCGCTCAGCATTAATGGGTACAAGAAGGACTGGTCGGCTCGGAGTCAGTATAATGTGTCAGAGTGGGGTATTCATGCTTCACTGCGGCATGGTATCTCAGTGGGCTAGCACTATAAAACCAGCTTAAGTCTGGGCTAGTACAAGCAGCCGCACATACACATACACACGCATGCACGTCGTCATATGAGCGAAATATTCTCAAGCACGACGTAAAACCCAACTTCACCTGACCTCTTAATATGGAGACAAGAATTTTATGGATGTCAACTTCTTTATTGTGATGGACACGACGTTTCGGAGTATATTCTTACTCCTGCATCAGGTGAATGAAAGAATTAGGAAGCAGGCAGCTATATATGTTTAAAGCTAAAATACATGGAATTATCATGAAACGGCCCTCCCATTATCAGAAATTTGCGGTCCGCTGCAAATGATATTGGACCGCTCAACCTTAACGACGGGCCACTATCAGTTCTGTTGTCAAGTGACGTCATAGTTCGACATTAATTGGCTTTCGACTGGCAGATATTCTGGGTCAAACAAGTCAAAGCAACCCGAATTCCCGCTTTAAATAGCGGTAATATTGGCTTTCTTGTTGGTGCTAACCTTAACAATTGCACTATTAAGACTGTTGATGGACCAAAACCGAACACTGTCATAGTTTGACATGTTGCAGGCTATGGTCTTGTCAAAGGCCAAGGTCGAATATCGTCACTTTCTGTTGTGACGTCACTTGAATTGTTCGATGACGTAATTGCATTCGGGCAGTCAACCCCGTCAGAAGTTGATTTGGGTAAACTTACAGTCAAATTCCTTCATTGTTTCCTTTTTCTTTTCAACACAAATTCCATGTATTTTAGCAATAATAACGGTAATGCTATTTTTGAGGGCATTATCATTTGCAGAAGCCCTCGGTCTTTTTCAACTGCCCTCCTTCGTCGGGCAGTTAATGGAAGACCTCGGGCTTCTGCAAATGATAATGCCCTCAAATATAGCATTACCCTTATATTATAGCTAAAACACATGGAATTATCATGAAACGGCCCTCCCATTATCAGATATTTGCGGGCCGCTGCAAATGATATTGGACCGCTCAACCTTAACGATGGGCCACTATCAGTTCTGTTGTCAAGTGACGTCATAGTGGGTGCATGGGCTTACGGCTCATTCGACATTGGCTTTCGACTGGCAGATATTCTGGGTCAAACAATTCAAAGGAACCCGAATTCCCGCTTTAAATAGCGGTCATATTGGCTTTCTTGTTGGTGCTAACCTCAACAATTGCACTATTAACGTTGTTGTTGGACCAAAACCGAACACTGACATAGTTTGACATGTTGCAGACTATGGTCTTGTCAAAGGCCAAGGTCGAATATCGTCACTTTCTGTTGTGACGTCACTTGAATTGTTCGATGACGTAATTGCATTCGGGCAGTCAAACCCGTCAGAAGTTGGTTTTGAGTAAACTTACAGTCAAATTCCTTCATTGTTTCCTTTTTCTTTTCAACACAAATTCCATGTATTTTAGCAATAATAACGGTAATGCTAATATTGAGGGCATTATCATTTGCAGAAGCCCTCGGTCTTTTTTCAACTGCCCTCCTTCGTCGGGCATTTAATGGTAGACTTCGGGCTTCTGCAAAAGATAATGCCCTCAAAAATAGCATTACCGTTATAATATGTGAAAGCAACAACAGTTATGAGATAACAAGGGAAACCAGTAGTTAATTGTCACTAAATTAGTAGATGGGGAAGTGGAGGGCAGGGGTTGTTAATCCAGGCATGATTAATGAGGTAACAATGGTGGCATTTAGAAAGAGATAAAAAAACAAATGGAAGCCAGGAGGTTAATTAGCACTAAATTGTTAGATGGACACTGGAAGCCAGGGATGGTTATAATCCAGGCACGAGGTGATATGGTCATGATGGTTATGACTCACGCTTTCGTAATTGTTTTAGAGGCATCTAGGTGGTTTTCAACACTGTTCATGCAGTAAGGTGCATCCCCTGGACATTGAACTACAGGCTGGATGGGGCTGTAACCACACATCGGGCCACTGCAGGTCGCGCAGGACACTGGAACACAGACACATTAGTGAGACAGCCAGACAGACAATTTTATTTGCAATGCGGGCCTAGCACAGGCCCTCGTGTCTTTGCGAAGATTAAAGATTAAGAAAAATATTTTTTTTGAGATGACCCCCGACACGAAATGCCTCACAGTACATTGTAAACCAAAAGTCACTGTGTTCTTTAATCTGATTGGTTGAAAAACGTGATCAAATGGTATTCGATTCCCGGAAATTCGCTGCGTATTAATACATACAAACATCGCTCACACCATTGTATTGTTACGTCGTCAGCTGTTATGACGTCATTAAAATCATATTGTGACGTAAAGTCCGAATGACGTCACAAATGAGCAGTTCCAAATGCCACCATAGGGAGACAGCCAAAACGGCCGGCTGATGACATTTCACTGCTGTACCCGTACTCGATGTCAGTGAGTGCAGACAGAAAAAACGTGTGTGGACCTTTTGGTACTTTTGTGTTTACAAGAGCAGACATTTCCGGGTGTTAAAAGTATTTGAAGTGTGGATTTCATTTTTAAAGCCGTCGGTTCCAAATGAATTTTGTGTTTACAATGTCGATAATGATTTATCTCCTAAATACATTCATTATGTATTGTACTGTGAGGCATTTCGAGCCGAGGGTCATCTCATATTTTTCAAATCTTTAATCCTCTCAAAGACACGAGGGTCTGTGGGGCCTAGTGGCCTATAATACAGTTTCTGCAGTTGCTTCACGCAGCTAACATCACTGGTGGAAACATTACGTTTATGTTTTACCACGGTTAAAATGTCTCAATTCGACTCACAAGTTTTCAGCGACACGGTAACGTTCGCAATGTTTACATTCCCACAATGCAATCGTGGAATGTCGCTTGACTACTCAGCTTCATCTGAATGTACTGATCTAAACTTACGTTGGTAATAGAAATGCGACGTTCATATTGCCCCATATGGTTTACGTTAATGAAAGATGTAATTAAGATAATTCAGAAAAGATATTTAATCCGAACGTAAACCGTCATCAAACTGTTATCATCTGTTTTTTTCTGGTAACGTTCGTCTTAACGTAGGGGGCAGACACATCAATAGAACAGCGCCCCAGTTAGCCCTGTGCGAGGATTCTTAATTTAGGTCAGCGACACCGTCGTTTGTTTTCTGCCTTAAATTAATCGTAATTATCCTTAGAAAGTATTAAATTTAGCATCTTAGAAAGATGTAAAGCTCGCAACTTTATTTCCTAATTACCATTCATTTGAATAAATTAACAGTGGTCAATATCGGTGTACAAAGGTTGCTCCAAGTTTGAAGATATGGCGAAGGAACAAAGCAGTTATATGGATTACGTGACGGTTTTTAGACTTGAAAATAGCTGAAATAGTTAGTTGTCCATTATAAGCATTTTGTAGCTGCGAGAGGTATTCATCTCGTATATGCTGATATTTCTGACATATGAAAAAAAACATGGTTTTCATTTTCAATTTCCCGAGCATCACAGCGTGGACAGTAAAATTCTGTTACTGGTGTTATTCCTATATTTGTTGACTTTGACGTTGTTGGATATTCGAAATTAACAGAATGCCTGGATCAAATGATGGTATTTCAATTCTGTTATGTATAATTCTAGGTTCTCGTGGTGTTTAAGTTGTGAGAAATGATAGAGGTGCTTGGAATTACTGATTTCTGTATGTCATGTTTGATAGGTGATAGAATTAACTCTCTGTTTGAAGATGTACATAAATAATCTCACATCTCCGACGCCTTGGTTTATCCAAACATTCGAGAACACGCTCAGGAATAATATGGATCTAACTTTTGAAGTCCAATTGGTTACACATCTCATCGAAAGTTTTAAGCAGTTTGTAACACTGTCTGGGGTAACGTCAGGGAGACTATATAACGTATATATTGTAGATTATCACTGGTTCATTGACAGCAACGTGGACCAAAGCTTAATCACTTTATTTGAGTGAGTACAAACAGACCCATTGGTGATATAGGACGAGGCGGAATAATGATGTATAACGATCCCAAGTGGAGGCTGGGAGATTCGTGTCTCAAACACCGTCATCTTTCCTTATTTTGTGTTGTTTTTTTGTTTGGTTCTTGTGTACTGGTATTAACTGCGAAGTGTCATTCAACCATACAAGCACGCACGCACGCACGCACGCACACAACACACACATGGAAGCTGGGAGATTCGTGTCTCATAGGTATTACAAACAATAGTTATAAGTAAGGTTGGGTATTGCCAAAATTTTCGTACTGCGATATATTGCGATATGTGTTGGCGTATTGCAATATATATTGCAGTATATTGTGATATGTGATGTATTGTGAAAGTGTCACACATGGTTGAAGGTAGTGAAACTACTGTTTCCTTTATTTGGAAACAATGCCACTGGCCACTGTCAGGACTCAGATGTGATTGTACAAGAGATCAATTGAAAATGTTTCCAAATTGAAGACTTCGCTCTAAAGTTTAGAACCCGAGAAAAAGCGTCTGCAGCGGCGTCCGCCATTTTGGTTTGTCTATCCTTACAACGAGTGCCGGTACCAATCTATTTGTTTTTATTTATATGGTTTAAAAGTCACGCAAATTCAATAATATGATCAATAAACATTCTCAAAATTATTAATGTTTAATAATATAAAGGGAATACAAATGGTGTTAGTAGTTTTGACTACATGACGAAAATTACCGATCGTATCGGGTGAACCGGTTCGCGAAAAGTGTACCGCAATATATCGTATTGTGAAGTTCGAATTGCAATATACCGGCTAACTGGTATTATCGCCCACCCCTACATTTAAAATGATACAAAACTAAAAATAGGACACAATTAATAATAATAATAATATTCCTGCTGTGTCTGTTACTTCTGTCACTTAGGGTTCATACATTTCGTTCTTTTAACGTTTATCGCTATGACAAATAGTGAGTGATGAATTTAGTTATTACGCTGCACTGTGCAATATTCTGTTGGCGGCGGTCTGTAAAAACGAAAATCGAGTCTGGACCAGACAATCCAGTGATCAACAGCATGATCATCGATCTGCGCAATTGGGAACCGATGACGTTTATCGCTATGCAGGTTCAGATGATGATACTTTGTGTTGATCTGTAGTACAAGATTGTGGCTGGATGTATTGCGTGTATATTTTTGTTTCAAATTTTATTAAAAGTTTTCAACTTAAGTATCACTGTCTGTGTCTTAATAACTCAACACCTTCTTTCTTTGTATTGTGTTGGTTTGTTAGGTTTTTGTGTACACGATCTAACTGCCAAGTCTTATTCAAACATACGCCAGCACGCACGCACACGGACATACGTACGCACACACACACGCATGGAAGCTTGGAGATTCATGTCTCACACACCACCTTCTTTGTTTTGTGTATTCTATTATTGGTGTTTTGTGCTTTGTATTGATCGAGTAGTGGTGCTAATTGCCAAGCTTCCACAGTGGACCACTCAAACACCCGCACACGCACATGCACGCACGCGCGCGTGCACACTCTCGCATGCGCACACACATTGAAGCTGAATCATTCATGTGACCTATAGAATTATATTTTATTGAAATGTCTTACCTCCTGTTGTTCTTTTTGTTGTTTGAGGTACAGTTGCGTTTGTTGTAACGCCGTTGTTAGTGGGAGACGTTGTTACCGTCTGTGTTCCGCTTGTACTTGTCGGCTGTTTCGGGGACGGAGATGTTGCAGTTGTAACAGTATCTGTGGGCGTCGATGCAGTTGTTGTGGAAATGGCGCTGTTGGTGGAGGAACCGAATGTCGATGACGTTGTTACCGTCTGTGTTGTTGTCCCGCTTGTACTTGTCGGCTGTTTCGGGGACGGAGATGTTGCAGTTGTAACAGTATCTGTGGGCGTCGATGCAGTTGTTGTGGAAACAACGCTGTTGGTGGAGGAACCGAATGTCAATGACGTTGGTAATGTCTTTGTTGTTGAGACTTGTTTTGTTGTCCCACTTGTGGTTGTCTGTTCTTTGTGGACGACATTATTGTAGTGGTTGCAGTGGTTGTTTCCGTTGTTGTAGGCACCGTTTTCACAATGGTTTTCATCGTTGTTGGTTTCACAGTTGTTGTAGGCTCATAATGCCCATACAATGCTAAAACCAAAGCCATGGCAATCATATTTTGGGGTCATTGATAATATCGCTTTACTTTACAAGGCATCATATGTCACCTACCAAATACTGACAGCCTCCGTGGTGTAGTGGTTAGAGCGTCCGCCCGGAGAGCGGAAGATCGCGGGTTCGATCCCCGACCGCGTCATACCAAAAGACGTTAAAATATGGTACTTGTTGGTCCCTGCCTGGCGCTCGTCATTGATGGGTACAACAAGGACTGGTCGGCTCGGAGTCAGTATAATGTGTCTGAATGGGGTATTCATGCTTCTCTGCGGCGTGGTATCTCAGTGGGCTAGCACTATAAAACCAGCTTCAGTCTGGGCTAGTACAAGCAGCCGCACATACACATACACACGCATGCACGTCGTCATATGAGCGAAATATTCTCAAGCACGACGTTAAACCCAATTTCACCTCACCTCACCTCACCTACCAAATACTAGTGTGTAACATTTTGTATGACCCGGGAAACGAGTGCAAATGTCTCACACCCCTTAAAACAAGCATAATATTTTCCCTTAAAACAAGTAATATTTTGTCTTATAACATTAAACAAGTAACATTATTCAAACCTTTTTCATCATACCCAAAACTAGTAAGATGTCTGCCCGACCTCGGAAACAATTAACATTTAAGCAAGTAATGTTTCATACTCCCTTAAAACAAGTGACGTATTTTCATTAACATATACCCCCCCTAAAACAAGTAACATTTTTAATTTTTCATTAAAAAGTAATATTTTTCCATCATCACTCCTGGAAACAATTAACATTTCATCATACCCTATAGTAAGTAATTATTCTTTTTTCATATCCCCTTAAAACAAGTAAAATTTCTTCATAATGCCCTACAACAAGTAATATGTTTCCATACCCAATAAAATCAAGTAACATAAGAAACGTAACATTCTTCAAACATTTTTCATCATCCCTTAAAACAAGTAATATTTTTTCATCATCCCCTAAAAACAAGAAACATTTTTTCATCATCCCCTAAAACAAGAAACATTTTTCATCTTCCCTTAAACAACTAATATTTTTTTTCATCATCCCTTAAAACAAGTACATTTTTCATCATCATCATCCCTAAAACAAGAAACATCCCCTAAAAACAAGAAACATTTTTTCATCTTCCCCTAAAACAACTAATTTTTTTTTTTCACCATCCCTTAAAACAAGTAATATTTTTTCATCATCCCCTAAAAACAAGAAACAGTTTTTCATCTTCCCCTAAAACAAGCAAAATGTTTTCATCATCCCTTAAAACAAGTAACATTTTTTCATCTACCCTTAAAACGAGTAATATGTTTTCATCATCCCCAAAACAAGTGATATTTTTTAATCATACCCTGCATCAAGTAACAATTTGTTCATGGCACCACATGCCCTCTTCCCTGCCATGTGATCACTCTTATATCCTCATTGCTCGCCCAGGGGCGGTGGGGTAGCCTAGTGGCTAAAGCGTTGGCTCGTCACGCCGAAGACCCGGGTTCGATTCCCCACATGAGTACAATGTGTGAAACCCATTTCTGGTGTCTCCCGCCGTGATATTGCTGGAATATGGCTAAAAGCGGCGTAAAACAAAACTCACTCATTCAATCCCTCACTCACTCATTAATCGTCCATTTAAGGTTGTACTCACGTAAATTACAGATGTATTCATTACAGGAATCGGAGTCACGACAATCTCCGTTGCACAAGACCGGATAGTCACAGAAGTCATGGTCTGACCGCTTGTCGTGGTGATTGTGACAATGCTACAATGCAAGCAGTCAGTGAATGTGTTTATTTTATTGAAAGTGCCGGAGTTGAACAAGTAAATCCCACAACACAGTTACGGAGTTGACTGACCGAGAATCATGAGTTGAAAACAGAATCATAGGATCCTAGAACAACTAAGGGACGCAACTCTTCAGAACGAGTATTCCGCCACAGAAGATACTGCCTATACACAATTAGAAAGGTGCAAACCAGCTGTAGCTTCAAAACAAATTCGACCAGCGTGTTATCGAAAACAATTAATCCTTAAGATTGAAAATAAATATTTTGAATCGGGTTCTACAAGTAAGAACATTATTTGTCCGAGTGAAATAGACTAAAGTAAATTCTTCTGGTCTTATATAAAAAAAACGAAGCAGTGATGGAGAAATAATGCGATGTGAATTTGGCTAAACAAAATCGCATAAATATTTTAGAGTGAGTGAGTAAGTATGGTTTTACGCCGTTTTTAGCAATATTCCAGCAATATCACGGCGGGGGACACCACAAATGAAATATTTTATAAATGTTGACCTGAATACAATGAAACATCAGTACGAACTGCATAAGAAAAACTATACTAGGCACATAAAGAAACTGTGCATACAAAAATTTAAAATCTAAATTTATCAAACCTGTGTAGACACATAAGTATTTAAACTCAGAGATTAGTGACATGTATCCAACATGCATGCACGTGCCACGTTCCGTGACGTCAGTGGGTTCGTCCTTGAGACGTGCAATACGTTGTTGCACTTTCATTCCGGGAAAGAGAAACAGAGCAAATGAATGCCACACAATACTGTCACTTTGGAAAACTCAACCCCTGCCACTGCGATTGTTCAAAACATTAAACGGCTATTGAAACGCATAGCATGCCAAGGCTCACGTCTGCACAACGTCATGAGGCCATTGGGATGGTCCGTGGGGAGAATGTCTCAACGACAAGTGGCTGCACATTTCCACTGCCACTGGAACACCATTTCTGCACTGGTGAGACGCTACCAGAACACAAATGACGTCATCGATCGGCCACGTTCTGGACGTCCACGTGTAACAACGCCAAGACAGGACAGATGGATAAGGGTGACCCATCTTCGCCACAGGTTTCAGAATGCAGTGATGACTGCCCGAACCATCCCAGGACTTCACCGTATCCACCCCAACATAGTTCGACAACGTTACGTCATCACGGGATCAGACCACGACGTCCCGCACAGGGATCAGATTCTTCGATCTGTGGCAATTCTTTTTCTGCAACGTCATGGCCCTGGGTTAACATTCCAACAGGACAATGCCCGCCCTCATACGGCAAGGGTTGCTATGGATTTCTTGCAACACCACAACGTTGACTTACTGCCTTGGCCTGCAAATTCACCGGATCTCTCCCCGATAGAGCATGTTTGGGACGAGATGGATCGACGTCTACGCCGTCTTCCTCATCCGCCAGATAACGTCCTTGACCTTGCAACAGAACTTGAGAGAATCTGGCGTGACATCCCACAAGCTCTCCTTGCACGTTTGATAGGCTCTATGCGTCGTCGATGCACTGCTGTTCTCAATGCCGATGGTGGACATACCCGTTATTGAGCTTGTGACATGGTCGTTTGACCCGAGTCCCGCTTGTGGACTCGTGACGTCATTGTGATTGACTTTTCAATTGAAATTCTCCCGACTTGTTATGGTCTCATGATCCCTCCATTAAAGTTTATATGTACCTTTGACATTGTTATCGTACTTATGAACTGGGATAATATTTTGACAATGCACAGTTTCTTTATGTGGCTAGTATACAAATACAGTTTGTTTAGCGCCTCTTTAAGCAATGTATCAGTGTGGTCGGTCAGATAATCAAGTGATTGACATCATGAGCATCGATAAATGCCACTGGCATAAATGACATGTATTCATATCAACCAGCCTGACAATCCGGTCCAGTTGCCCCTAACAACACTGTGTGTTTGTTTGTTTGTTGTTTAGTGCTGCACTCAGCAATATTCCAGCTATATGGCGGCGGTCTGTAAATAATCGAGTCTGGACCAGGCAATCCAGTGATCAACAGCATGAGTATCGGTCTACGCAATTTGGAAACGATGACATGTGTCAATAAAGTTAGAAAGGCTGACCACCTGATCCTGTTAGTCGCCTCTTACGACAAGCATGGGTTGCTGAAGACCAATTGTAACCCGGATCGCCCGTGTGTGTGCGTGCGTGCGTGCGTGCGTGCGTGCGTGCGTGCGTGAACATATAGAGTTCTGTAACTGTATGAGACAATAAGTTTGAACGTAACTGACAGATGGTACAGATCCACATCCCGCCTTTATCCGTTGGTATGTCTGATCTCCACGAACTTCCAGATAGCAAGCCTGTAAGGAGAAGGTGAACTCGTCTTTACACAACCACTCACTATATGTTATGGTTACATCGAAGATGAATTTCTCCATTAACTTGAGGGAACCAACTGCCAACCCTATGCAGACAAATTGCACGAGGATCATGCATCAAATTGCTGAAAATCGTGCAAATATCGTGCATGTGAACAGCTGCGTTTTGGTGTAAAGTTTTGTTAAGAATTCGCCAATTTTTACTGAATTTCACCATTTACTGAACCCATGACAATAATCTTTTCTTCTCTACGAATTTGTTTTACAATACATCAGTTCATGTGTAAACAGTACCTTTAAACAGTATGGAATAGCTTGCAAAACGCAGTGTAGAACAGTTGACTGAAGTAAGTGGCTACATTTACACTAGTGAGTCTAAACGTTTGATGGGGAGTATATATTCATGTTAGTGACAGAACGGTGTCCTCCCATTTGTGAGCACTCCCAGTTGTGAGACACATTAATTAATGGTTCAGTGCACATAGGTGGTGTTTCCACATCCCTACAATGAAAGTGGGATCAGCCCAGCCCAGCACCCACAGGAGGCATAGTTCATTGATGAGTAGATTAATGAAATAGATTATCAAAGATTATATTTACACAGAAGAAATAGTTCATTAAATATTTTATTTACTCAGAAGAATATGTAATTATGACAACACATTTTTATTGACTATTATGAAGTTTGAAAGTCTTTTTGGTTTAAACATATTTTATTATTATTTATCAAAATGAGTTGGGATTGGTGACGTATTACTGCTTATGTTAACACCGCTCCCATGCAACATAAAATACAAAATGAAATGGAGGATGTGACGTCATCGATATTGACTATTGCATAAATATATTTTTAAGTACATATAAATATATAGATTACATCAATTAAAACTATTCTCTAAGTAGTCATAATTATCAGTAATTAGCTAGGGTTAATCCATTCTATCAAACAGGGAAGTACGGTGTGTTTTCTTTGTTAATTACCTACTATAGTGTCTCATAACTGGGAGTCTCACAACTGTGAGTTCTCACAAATGGGAGTAGACCGACAGAACAATTGACGAAAATATGCGTGTTAATCGCATCGGATCGAATTGAATACACAATCACGGCATTAAAATCTTTAAAACCAAAGATTTTAGATTCTATTTCTAAGAAATTTGGACGTAAAAGCTACAATATTATGAAAATGCTTCAAACAAATATTTAGGAACTTTATAGCCTCAAGTGTCCTAAACCCAGTGATGCGTGATACTTTTATGGTTTTTGTGTGTGTTCTTTTGTTACTTTTTCTCAATTGTTAATTCTTGAGTACTTTCGGATTTCAGGCACTACAAATGCTCTGAAGGCGTTGTTTCCTTTCGGCGTTTAAGAAGTTTCCAATAATTGTGTTCATTATTGAAATGGATCTGAACTCGTACTCACCTGATACGCGCTACATCTTCTATCACTAAATTTACAGTCCGCTAGGTCGTGAACTTCATCGCAAACCAGACAATTCAAATCTGAAACAACAGAAATGTGTGTGAGTCGGTAATATTCATGGAAGGCCGCCTCCGTGGTGTAGTGGTTAGAGCGTCCGCCCGGAGAGCGGAAGGTCGCGGGTTCGATCCCCAACCGCGTCATACCAAAAGACGTTAAAATATGGTACTTGTTGGTCCCCGCCTGGTGCTTGGCATTAATGGGTACAACAAGGACTGGTCGGCTCGGAGTCAGTATAATGTGTCTGAGTGGGTATTCATGCTTCACTGCGGCATGGTATCTCAGTGGGCTAGCACTATAAAACCAGCTTAAGTCTGGGCTAATACAAGCAGCCGCACATACACATACACACGCATGCACGTCGTCATATGAGCGAAATATTCTCAAGCACGACGTTAAACCCAATTTCACCTCACCTCACCTCACCTCACCTAATATTCATGGGCGCATATATTCTTGCGCGATTCGGATACCACAGCTCGATCAACGTTCAGCGTTGGCGTATGTAATGGCCGCGCGCCGGTAAGATCACTGAGTCAGAACTCATCTTCTCTCATCCGTGAAGACCCGTGTTGAATATTGATCTACAGCAACCCGGAGCGGTTGGGTAGCCTAGTGGTTAAAGCGTTCACTCGTTACGCCGTAGACCCGGGTTCGATTCCCTACATGTCTACAAGGTGTGAAGCCTTGGTGTACCTCTCCGTAATAGTGCTCGAAAGCTAAAAGCGGCGTAAAACCACACTCACTCATTCACTGCAGCAGCTGATGCTTAGTGCAAGAGGTGACTGACATCATCGGGTGATCAGACTCGCTGATATGACGTATGCCGCCGTACTCAATTACATGGATAGATGTTCATGACGTGAATCACCGGTTTGTCTGGTCAACATTCGATTCATTACAAACCACCGGCATATCGATACAACACTTCGGAGTTCGAATCCCTGATTATGTTTCTTGACTAAGGGGTTTACTTGTCAGCCCCAAGGACTGGGTTTGATTCCCCGATACTGTACAATGTATTATGAAGTCCCTCCTGGTGTATCTGACCGCCTCCATGGTGTAGTGGTTAGAGCGTCCGCCTCGAGAGCGAAAGGTCGCGGGTTCGATCCCCGACCGCGTCATACCAAAAGACGTTAAAATATAGTACTTGTTGGTCCCTGCCTGGCGCTCGACATTAATGGGTACAACAAGGACTGGTCGGCTCGGAGTCAGTATAATGTGCCTCAGTGGGGTATTCATGCTTCACTGCGGCATGGTATCTCAGTGAGCTAGCACTATAAAACCAGCTTCAGTCTGGGCTAGTACAAGCAGCCGCACATACACATACGCATGCACGTCGTCATATGAGCGAAATATTCTCAAGCACGACGTAAAACCCAATTTCACCTCACCTCACCTGATGTATCTCGCAATGACATATTGCGGGAATATTACAAAAAACGCCATAAAATCTCTACGCACTCATATTGTTATCTAAATATTTAGGTGCGATTTGATGATCTGGGAAATAGAGACGCTACTTTACCGGACAATAGAAAACTGCTACACAGCCGTACAACCAGAATTAAAGCGATTCCTGAAAATAAACAACAAACGATTATCATGATAATTTTTTAGACATCTTTGATTGGCATTTGGTCGTTTGATGAAAATGAAGACACGAAACAACACCATGATTATCAACAACAACTTACAATGTTTACATACTCTTACTCAGTATATGTGTGTGTGTTTCTTGTCTTGTAATTGCGACTGACAGAATGCAGGTGACAGCCGGTTCCAGACGCGTTTATCTACTCACGAACATCACATTTGAAATTTTTTCAATGCAACGTTAAACAACGGACAAATGACCAAATATATCGACCCGATGATGAATACAATGACATGTCATATACGTTAGTATGTTTCAACATTGACAGGAAATGTAATTAACCAACGGATCAATGGGGTAGTCTACTGGTTAAAGCGTTCGCTCGTTACGCCGATGAGGTTCGATTCCTCACATGGAAATTGTTTAAACCCCATTTCTGGTGTACCCCCGTGATATTGCTGGAATAATGCTCAAAGCGGCGTAAAAATAAAGTCACTCACTTTAGAGCCAGCCCAAGGTCAGTGGTCGATATTTGGAAATTGCACTTGCGAACGAAAGCAATTTCAGTACCACCTCATGAAGTGCCACAAGGTGGGAGCATGTTTGTGGTCCTCCTACCTAACAATGGTTTTACTAGAATATTGATAAAAACGGCACAAAACATTACTCAATCTCTCACCTGTCAACATATATCTATTTGTGGTCATTCACGAGTTCATTTCTGAAGTGCAGACTATTATGATATAATGCATGATCAGTTTCGTTGCCCTTCCCATGGATTATTTATTCAAACCGGCAGGTAGGCAGGTATACCACGAGAAAACAGAATATGTCAGTTATGTAACGTTAATACTAGGGTTGCGCAATATAACCGGTTTACCGGTATTTACCGGTCCAGACATGAAAACGATACGTATTCCGATACGCTGATCGAAAACCGGTATTTTGACATGCATTCGGAAAACTTCGTAACACTCGGAAATCTTCGGCTATTGCCTTGTTTCATTTGTACCAAATATTATTTACATTTTGTCAGGATTAAAAGTTTTTATTAAAGCTTAATCAAACATGATGATTTTGTTTTGTTTTTGCTTTATAAATCAAGCATTAACTCGAGTATTAGTAGGTGGTTTTTTTAAAAAACTTCTTGCAATATATTGCAATAAATATCGCAATATATGCTTTCGCATCGCAATATATCGCAATATGAAAATTCTCTGCAATACCCACCCCTAATTAATACTGTAGGGGATGAATTACATTTCCTTCTAATCTGTCCTGTTTATACGACTCGACGAACGAACAACCTAAAGCCATGCAATCATAATCATCCAAGTGTAAGAATATATATTTCATATCAACAGATACTAACATATTACAGAATCTGGCAATACACATCAATTTCGCTATGAGTTTAAAGGTCACATGCAACCAACAATTAAAACACAATTATCACTTATTCATGACATATAATATACATTGCTGATTATGAAATAACATATAAACAAAACTATAAGCGTACAATCGCAAATCAAAAGTGCAATATTTTGTACCTGGCTTTACTTCCCTAGAAACGAAGCAGCCGGGATACCGAACCCAGTCAGAGCGGGTGGGTGTGCACTCAAGTGTAACGGCTGGTTCATTTGCAGATGCCCTCACGGCTCATTGTGTGTATACATTTGTATATAGAGATGTTGGGTTTTGTAAATACATGCTCATTTTTTGTGTATAACATTGTGCAATCAACAGACGTGATAACATGTCATGTGTACAAGTATCACACCTGCCTGTCTGTGTAATTAAATAATGTGACAGAGACCGAACTCGGGACATAAATCAATGCGTTTTAGGTGTATAGCCTAATAGGTGTTACGTTCAAATTGCATGTGGTCAGTGATCGAAGTTGTGTATTGAATATTGTCATTAGCAGACAGGCAGGCAGACACATAGGTGTCAATAAAACAGACATTGAGTTTTGTCTGTGACAACGACATATCTATATCACAGTTAGAAATTCTGTCAACGCTAAATAATGATATTGCTTTCAAGTATCGAACTGAGAAAGTGACTCGGTAAGAAGAACGTGTGGTGAAATAGACAAATGAAATTATATAAACAGGTAAATCGGTAATCTACTGTCATAACATATTGCCTGTGAAATATCAACAAAACATTAGAAAAATAGCTCACACCAAAGCCTTCGCCGAGTATTCACCGCACAACCCGCTTCCAAGCTGCGCGAACCTATTTCACTGCGCATGTGCCATGAGCGCAGCCCAAAGCAGCGCAGCCCAGCTGTTAAAACCACTGTTCCCCCAAGCGCTGGGGGAAAATGAGTGAATCGTTTGAACTCCGATTTCGAGCGGATTTTTTCATCGCGTTATTTTTCAACTTTATAAGTTGAATTTGCATTTTTGATGATTTGTTTCGGCAAGTCCATACCGAAAGGTATCAGAATCTGCAAAGTTGTGTTTTACATTGCATGTGACCTTGAAGAAAAATATTATTATGGAAAAGAATTTGTAAATGATTACTAACTGCTCACGTAAACTTTAAATGCACTACAGCCTGTGTCCCTTTGAAGTAATGAATAAAGACTTATTGAATGCATGCTCGTTGTACACATGGACCGGAAAAACCCCAGTTTACCAGACATCAAATGTATCCAAAACATACCTCGACACACAAGTCGCATCAAATTTTCGATATATGATGTGAAAAGAAATATAAGTATACGTACCATGGATTATGAGGCAACAACTACCCATCTTTAGATAAATATACATAAGAAAGATCGCCTTCGCCACTTGTGTGTGTTTTGGACAGCAGTTGGCCTTATCTCATTAAATCCCAGACTTATCACGTGTCTAAAAACACAACTTTCACTTGTGCTGAGTGTGTCTACGTGAGATTAAACTTCAACTCGCCTGGAACTTACGTACATTAACCCACGTGAGGTTTCACACCCACTCTCTCGGGTTTACATATACACCCACGTGATCGGGTTTACATATACACCCACGTGAGGTTTAACTTCCACTCTCTCGGGTTTACATTAACCCACGTGAGGTTTCACACCCACTCTCTCGGGTTTACATACACCCACGTGAAGTTTAACTTCCACTCTCTCGGGTTTACATTACACCCACGTGAAGTTTAACTTCCACTCCGGGTTTACTCTCACACTCGGGTATACATACACCCACGTGAAGTTTAACTTCCACTCTCTCGGGTTTACATTAACCCACGTGAGGTTTCACACCCACTCTCTCGGGTATACATACACCCACGTGAAGTTTAACTTCCACTCTCTCGGGTTTACATTAACCCACGTGAGGTTTCACACCCACTCTCTCGGGTTTACATACACCCACGTGAAGTTTCACACCCGGGTTTACATTAACCCACGTGAGGTTTCACACCCACTCTCTCGGGTTTACATACACCCACTCTCTCGGGTTTACATAACCCACGTAACCCACGTTAACCCACGTGGGTTTCACACCCACTCTCTCGGGTTTACATACACCCACGTGAGGTTTCACACCCACTCTCTTGGGTTAACATACACCCACGTGAGGTTTAATTTCTAGTTTTTGGTTTTATATACACATACGTGAGGTTTAACTACCACTTTCTCAGATTTACATAGACCTACGTGAGGTTTAACTTCAACTCTCTCGGGTTTACATTCACCTAGGTGATGTTTCACCTCTGCTTCCTCGGGTTTATATACACTTACATGAGGTTTAACTTCCATGCCCTTGGGTTTACAGACACCTATTTGAGGTTTCACCTCAGCTTCCTCGGGTTTACATATACATACATGAGGTTTAACTTCCGAGCCCTTGGGTTTACAGACACCTAGGTGAGGTTTCACATCAGCTTCCTTAGGTTTACATACACTTACGAGAGGTTTAACATCTAATATAATTTCCACAATCCCGTTTTTACATATACCTACATGAGGTTTCACTTCCACTCTCTCGGGTTTACATACGGATCTACACGAGGTACTTTTTATAATTTTGATTCCCCAAATAAACGTTTACTTTTGATGAAAACATTGGTATGCTTTCCAACCTTTTCTTACAAAGCGATCTGTGGTCCATTGACATATAGAAAAACACCGCGTCGTCGTCCTCCTTAGACAGCGATTCTTATATGGCAAAACAAAAATAACAAAGCGTTCTTTTCATAGTAGAGGTGACTTTTCTTCTCTGACCTAATTCCGATCCGTGAAGATCTGGGCTAGAATTAATTTTCAGTAACCCATGCTTGTCGTAAGAGGCGATTAACGGGATCGCGTGGTCAGACACGCTGACCTGGTTGACACATGCCATCGTTTCCCAATTGCGGAGATCGATGCTCATGCTGTTAAGCACTAGGTTCTCTGGCCCAGGCTCGATTATTTACAGACCGCCATATAGCTGGAATATTGCTGAATGTGGCGTAAAACTCACTCACTCACTGACCTAGTTCCTGCCCACCTCCACGGTGACCCGATGTCGCTCACTTGTTCTTGTCGTTTTGTCACTCGTGAAAAAAGGATTGTGTCAGGTCAAGAGATGAGATAAAGTGTTGTTTAACAAGAACAGATCCAATATTCTATTTATTATCTCCTTTGTACCTGATAAAATACTGCAGTCATGGTCTTATCTTTATGTTTCTAAAAGACTTAGAAAAGAACGATACATATTCACTAAAGAGTGTCTACTGGTATCGGGGTATTGGAAATACCATCGCTATATCGGAAATATTCATACTGAAAATATCAAGGTTGTAGCTGTAATATTGGTACTGGAAATACCAAGGTAGAAACTTTTAATTATTTATAATGAAAATGGCAAGGCAGTAAGTCTGAAATTGCCACAGAAAATATGTGGGCAGTTGTTATTGAACATATGAAGGCAGGAAATGCCAAGGTTCTATCGGCAATATTGACATTACATTGAATATACCAAGGTAATAACTGTAACACTGGAATTGAATAGATCATGATTGTATCAGTAACATTGGTATTTAATATACCAAGGCAATAACTGTAACACGGGTATTGAATATACCATGATTGTATCTGTAACATTGGTATTGAATATACCACGATTGTATCAGTAACATTGGTATTGAACATACCAAGGCAATAGCTGTAATATTAATTTTGAAAATACTAAGGTTGTATCTGTAATGTTGGTATTGAATATACCAATGCTGTGTCTGTAACACTGGTATTGAATATACAATGGTTGTATCTGTAACATTGTAATTGAATATACCAAGGCAGTACCTGTAACGCTTGCATTGAATATACCATGGCTGTATCTGTAACACTGGTATTGAATATACCACGATTGTATCAGTAACACTGGTATTGAATATACCACGATTGTATCAGTAACACCGGTATTGAATATACCACGATTGTATCAGTAACACCGGTATTGAATATACCACGATTGTATCAGTAACACCGGTATTGAATATACCACGATTGTATCAGTAACACCGGTATTGAATATACCACGATTGTATCAGTAACACTGGTATTGAATATACCACGATTGTATCAGTAACACCGGTATTGAATATACCACGATTGTATCAGTAACATTGGTATTGAATATACCACGATTGTATCAGTAACACCGGTATTGAATATACCACGATTGTATCAGTAACACTGGTATTGAATATACCACGATTGTATCAGTAACACCGGTATTGAATATACCACGATTGTATCAGTAACACCGGTATTGAATATACCACGATTGTATCAGTAACACCGGTATTGAATATACCACGATTGTATCAGTAACACTGGTATTGAATATACCACGATTGTATCAGTAACATTGGTATTGAATATACCACGATTGTATCAGTAACACTGGTATTGAATATACCACGATTGTATCAGTAACATTGGTATTGAATATACCACGATTGTATCAGTCAACACTGGTATTGAATATACCACGATTGTATCAGTAACACTGGTATTGAATATACCACGACTGTATCAGTAACATTGGTATTGAATATACCACGATTGTATCAGTAACATTGGTATTGAATATACCACGATATTGATTGTATCAGTAACATTGGTATTGAATATAACCACGATTGTATCAATAACTGGAATTGAACGTATAGCCATGATTGTATCAGTAACATTGGTATTGAATATACCACGATACGCAATAACAGTAACACTTGTATTGAATATATCAGTAACATTGGTATTGAATATACCGTGATTGTATCGTAACATTGGTATTGAATATACCACGATTGTATCTGTAATCATTGAAACATTACCGAGGCAATAACTGTAACGCTGGTATTGAATATACCACGATTGTATCAGTAACACTGGTATTGACATACCATGATTGTATCTGTAACATTGGTATTGAATATACCACGATTGTATCAGTAACACTGTGGTATTGAATACTGTATCTGTAACATTGTATTGACCATACCACGAACAATAACTGTAACTTTGGTATTGAATATACCATGATTGTATCAGTAACATTGGTATTGAATATACCATGACTGCATCTGTAACATTGGTATTGAATATACCACGATTGTATCAGTAACACTTGTATTGAATATACCATGACTGCATCTGTAACATTGGTATTGAACATACCAAGGCAATAACTGTAATATTAATATTGAAAATACCAAGGCAGTTACTGTGATATTGATATTGAAACACCAAAGCTATCATTTGAAAATATCGTGAATATATTGCAATGTTGGATTATTAAATAAAGTTGTGGGGTTCACTCTCAAATCTCTTTTTGTCTTCCAGTACCGAAGATGCCACAGGTGTAAACTACAAAGTCTGATAACAGTAATAGCATACAATCACAATGTTTGCATACGTTGTATTCTGTATACAAAATCATGATGGATATACATACCAATGTGCGAATAATGGTTGTCACCCCTTCAATTTTTTTTGGTGGGGGGTGTGTGGGGTGGGGGTGAGGGGTGGGGTGGGGTCGGGGTTGGGAGGGTGACAACCATTATTGGCATGAGTATACATACCAATATGCGAATATTATTATTCTTCTTAGTAATCTTTAACAAATTAACGTTAAAGCTACTAGGATATGTGTGGAAATACTGTAGACATTTTGTCTTTAAATCAGTGCAGTAAGGACAGACCAACAAAAAGTGAAACACATGTTCAACTACATTTGATGTACAAAACTGACACAATCTGTTTTCTCTTGGAATAAGATAAGACAGGAATATCTGTTTCACTGTTTGTAGCATATGCAATCGAATGTTGATATTTGATTGTAAAGCCTTGTCTGTGATAACTTATCAACAGATGCGAAGTTAATTCATCACTGACATATTGCAATTGGTATCTAACAGTAAAATCACCAATTAGGACAGATTAAACGGACGGCGGTTCGCACCTGTAAAGGCAAATGGACTCAAGGGGTCAAGATGGCCGCGATAGCATCTAATGAACGCTGGGGTCGAGTGACAACAATGGGCGTATGGCGTCGCCTGCAGGGTATAAGAATGGGTCAAGTCTTGACAAGCGTACAAGCATCATAGCAGAACAATGATCTTCTCCATCGTAGTAGCAGCTTTGTGTTTAGCTGGAGGTATGTATTTCTAACCATGACCACACATTTGGACCCGTGTCTCAAAGAGGTTTAGGTGCGGTGGGGTAACCTAGTGGTTAAGGCGTCCGCTCGTCACGATGAAGACCCGGGTTCGATTCCCCAAATGGGCCTATTTCTTGTGTCCCCCGCCGTGATATTGCTGGAATATTGCTAAAAGCAGCGTAAAACCAAACTCACTCAAAAACGTTTAAGCGTTTCGTGAAGTGACTACTGACTGACTGACTGAGTTTGGTTTTACGCCGCTTTTAGCAATATTCCAGCAACATCACGGTCGGGGACACCAGAAATGGGCTTCACACATTGTACCCATGTGGGGATTCGAACCCGGGTCTTCGGCGTGACGAGCAAACGCTTTTACCACTAAGCTACCCCACCGCCCCTGAAGTGACTACTGCTACTGTTTATATGTTCGCCTATGTGTGGCTACTTGTACTAGTCCAAAAGCATCCAGGTTTCATTGTGCTGGTCGATTATGATACCGTGCTGCGGTTTCCCATAATTTGCAGACTCCGAGCCGATCATTCCTTGTTTAACCCCTTAATGGCTGTCGTCAGGCACAGCAACACCAAGTACCATCTTTTAATGAAGTTGCTGTGGGCTTGAACAACCGATCGTACGCTCTCCTTCCACTTCATGGGCAGTTGTGAAGCCCATTTTTGTTGTTCCCGCTGTCATGTTGCTGGAATATTGCTAAATGCGGCGTAAAACTAAACTCACTCACTCACTCAGTAATTAACAGACGATATTTCAATGTGGTACAGCTGTCAATGCTGCTAATTGATTTATAAGAGGTTTTCTGTGCTCTGTTTACTGACAATGTGACTTCGGTTCGGACTTATAATACGCATGAGAACATTTTGCACTTTTGCACTTTTTTCAGTGTTAAGATCCCAAAGTGCTAAGATATGATGTCAATCATTGGATTGTCTGGTCCAGACTCGATTGGAAGGTCGCGGGTTCGATCCCCGACCGCGTCATACCAAAACACGTTAAAATATGGTACTTGTTGGTCCCTACCTGGCGCTCGGCATTAATGGGTACATCAAGGACTGGTCGGCTCGGAGTCAGTATAATGTGTCTGAGTGGGGTATTCATGCTTCACTACGGCATGGTATCTCAACCATAAAACCAGCTTAAGTCTGGGCTAGTACAAGCAGCCGCACATACACATACACACGCATGCACGTCGTCATATGAGCGAAATATTCTCAAGCACGACGTTAAACCCAATTTCACCTCACCTCACCTCACCTCACCTCACCTCACCTCACCTCACCAGACTCGATTATCTATAGTCCGCCGCCATATAGCTGGAATATTGCTGAGTGCGGAATTACACAACAAACAAAAACTCATAATATACTTCCCATCAAAAGTTTAGACGCACTTAAAACATTATATGTTATGTATATATATATATATGGTTACATCGATAATTGATTTCTCCTAACTTGGGGGAACTGACTGCAAACCTTATGCAGATGAATTGCACGAGGATCATGCATCAAATTGCTGAAAATCACGTGCAAATATCGTGCATGTGAACAGCTGCATTTGGGTGTAAAGTTGTGTTAGAATTCGCCAAATTTTCACTGAGTTTCATCATTTATTGAACTATAATAATAATAGCAATAATCTTTTCCTGTCTTCCAGAAATCTCCGCTACAAACCTTGCCTTGAAAAGGCCGGTCACCCAGAGCAGCTTCTGGTCCGTCTTTAGTGGAGCTCGGGCCGTTGATGGCAACACAAATGGCAATTTCGATAAGGGTAGATCCTGTTTCATGTCCGGTGACGACGAAAGTGACCCTTGGTGGATGGTGGACCTTGGTCAAGCGTACCCTGTGGCCTCAGTGACCCTCTACAACAGAGCCGATTGCTGTGGTAAGTGTGGCGATATACCTAACTGTCCAGCATAGTAATTACTCCATTAATAGCATATATACTCCAGGGCCTAGATGTTCGAAGCTCTCTTAGCGCTATGATAGTCGTAAGTTAATGTTAATGTATAGCACTTACGAATATCTTAGCGTTAAGAGAGCTTCGAAAATTTAGACCCTGGACCTAGATTTTCGAAGCTCTCCTAGTGTTGAAATGGTCGTAGATGCCATACAATAACATTAGCCTACGACTATCTTAGTTCTAAGAGAGCTTCGAAAATCTCGGTACTGGGTCTCAATCCACAAAGCGTTCGTAGCGCTACGACATTCCTAAGCTTATGCTAAACTATAGAGTTACGACAGGCATTCACATGTACATTTTACAGCATGGTTGATCGAATATCAATTGTTAAGATCTATGCTTGAAAATCAATTTCACTTAAGTTTTAACTTATTTCAAATGACTAGTGCTGTATCGGTTCAAATGAATGATGTTAGTTTGTGTCATTAATTAGATGGTTTAGGAACATTATAAGTTGTTCACTGGAACCCCCTATGGATCCGCCAATGGGATGATGTACCCTCGAAGGGCGGGGGTACATAAACAAACATGTTCCCTGATCCCGACCAGGACACAACGTATTTATCTTACCGGACACCTTAATGTTAATTTTGAATTGTTTGAAGCACGGGTACAAATCTTTTTGTAGCCATCGCTAGATTTTGCGGACTAGAAAAACAGATTTAGAGTTATCTCCCTTCCATCGATTTGCATTCGCGAAACATCGGTAATTTCCGTACATCATATGTGATTCAATGTAATTCGAGATAAAGAATTACTACCACGAAGTACCAAATGAGTTGCCATTGACAGCGGGGTACATTGAAATGTACCTCGCTTGTAAGCTGGGTACATTGAAAATAATAGAAGTGCGCTCAGCCAATCAGAAAGCGACATTTATGTGTGAGGTAAGATAAAATTATATATTCCGTTCCGTTGATAGTTAGTCTTTTCCACGTTCGTTTCAAAGGCAGCTGTTTTAGGAGTAGACTTGCTCCAAGGCTGTACTGAATGCTAAGCCCATGGATGTATTGTAATTCTATCCTTTACAGAGGCAAGTCTGACATCTAAGGACGCCAGTCTGTCATTTATATGTTTTCAGAAACTTTTATTTAAACTATTAATTATTACCTTAGAGACTCATGCATTTTTAGGCGGTACACTGAACATCATCGTAACATCTGGTCATTCTGTTTAGGGTCAAGGTTAAACAATCTGGAGATCCGAGTGCACTCTGACCCCACAACTGAAGGTCAGCTGTGTGGCGCTGTCACCGCACCTCAACCAGATGGCGCTGTCAAGGTCATCAACTGCCCACCAGGAGTTAAAGGCCAGTACGTCCGTATTGTCAAGGACAAGTCCGTTGACAATGACGTCCTGAGCTTCTGTGAGGTCGAAGTTGAAGAAGCCAACGGTAGGGTAGAAAAGTGTGAAAAGTTTGAGGGCGGGTGAAGTGTGAATAGGAGATGCCAAGGGTGATTCCAAGGGTATAACCCGTGTCATCACCTGTGGAGGCAAAATGTGGATTTGGTGGCCATGCTTGGCTCAATGTGTGTCATTGTACCCAAAAGGCGTGTGGGATTCCTCATGCTTTCAGTCGCCGATGTGTCGTATCCCGCTTGATCAGTTCCAGGTAGCCATGACGAATCTTACAACAGCGTGATCTATTTGAGCACTTTAAAACTTGTGGCTATACAGGTCAGAATTTGTCCCCATCCCTCCATGATGAAATAACCGACTGGAATGTGGATTGGTTGGCCACAATATATGATTAGCTGATAGTCCGTCATATTTTAGGTTTTACGCGTAGCCGTAACATACCTAGACAGTTTTGGAATACAAATGTATTTTATAATATATTTACATACGGACTATTGGTTAAACGTTTATTATCATATCTTAGGACATATTTTCAACTACCTGGTTCACCAACTACCATCACCCATGAATATCCGGGTTAGCAAACCATGCTTGTCGTAAGAGGCGACTAACGGGATCGGGTGGTCGGGCTCGCTGACTTGGTTGACACATGTCATCGTATCCCAATTGCGTAGATCGATGCGTATGCTGTTGATCACTGGATTGTCTGGTCCAGACTCGATTGTTTACAGACCACCGCCATATAGCTGGAATATTCCTTAGTGCGGCGTAAAACAACAAACACAATCTGAAAGGCGACTAACGGGATCGAGTCTTCAGGCTTGATGCATGTCTTCGTTTCCGAAAATTGATGCTCATGCTGTCAGTCACTTGATTGTCTGGTCAGACTCGATCCTTTCGATACCAATGACATAAAGCCGGACATTTTTGAGCGCGGCTTCATCAACAACCAAAAAAACGTCTTTCACGTTCATGTTGCAGAGTGTTCCAGTGGCTTCAACAGTGTTGCCAACCAATGCCTCGCCTTCGCCGACACATTAGCAACTTTCGCTGAGGCAATCGTAAGTTATCCACGATCAGGGCTGGAAATCACTTATGTAGTTATTATCATATGGATTTTAATAGAAAGGACAGCCATATTATCTAATGATAATATAACAATTTGTATTGAGTACAATTTATGATTTAATATGTTTGTTGTAATGTTGCATCTTCGTTTATCCAGGGTGTTTTATGGCCCATACCTTAACATAGACTTACGACTGCCGTAGCACTAAGGTGATCAAAACTCCCATACCTTAACATAGACTTACGACTGGCGTAGCACTAAGGTGATCGTAACTCCCATTCCTTAAAATAGACTTACGACAGTCGTAGCACCGAGGTTTCTTCCTACACTAACTCACTCACACACTCTGTTTTAGACCTACTGTGAGCTGCGGGAGTCCCGGCTCGTCATGATTAAGACCGAGGAGCTCGACAACGCCATCGCAGCCTACATCAACGCCAACGGACTTGACGGTAAAAAATCCCTCACCCACTCACACACTGATTCTTACCATAAACACAAAGGAAATGCAAATCAATAAATGTAGAATGTTACGCCAAAAACATTTCATCTGTAAGCAGGGCGTGGAAATGACTTCCTTATCTTGTCAATTTGATGACTGGGTTAACCTCTTTGGTCAAGTGGACAAGGCGTTCCACTTCGGATCAGAAAGTCCGCCGTTCGAATCCCAGCACGGGACTCGGAAGTTTTATGGCCGCTCAATGTTCATATACATTCGTTCTGGTATATGTATGTTCGTTTTAAACATATGAAAGTGAATTAGTGAAAAGTGAATGTATATTATATTCGTGTCACTGAGCGCTCCAAATGTCAACATGAATTTTAACAAATTTCACAATTCCCGTATGTCTTTAGGCGTCCTACCAACTTTAAACAGCCATTAAACTGACAAACTCTTCAATGTATATGTGTAATTTGACTCATCTGTGACGTCACTTCCTTTCAGGACACAACTATTACGTCGGCGCTAGCGACATGGAGGACAACAACGTGTACCACTGGATCGACGGCAGCTTGGTTGTGGCACCATGGCATCCGACCGGACCCTCCGCTACTCTGTTGCCAGGGCAGACACAAGATTCTGGGTGTGGGTATCTGAACACCACCTCCACGTACGCCTGGGAGGCCATGCCTTGCAGCGAGCCCAACTATTTTATCTGCCAGCAGTAGCCTGTGAAATCTGTGTACACCATTGAATACCCATATATAATGTGCTCAAAGGTGAATGTTTCACCTGTGTACATATATGAAGCGACGGTTGCTACTAAATAAATAAATTCGCTAAAGATATGTGTTTGAGTTTATGGTGGATTCGTGGTACCTCAGTTAGTTTTCGATTAACTGTTGGTTGGTTTGTTGTCAACGCCAAAACGATAGTAACGTTACGACCTGTCGTAACTCAACAGTTTATCATAGACTTAAGAATGTAATGTGGATCAGGGCCCCGTTCCTCAGAGCGATCGTAGCTCTAAGTTGATCGTAGCTCCCATACTTTAACATAGACCTATCACTGTCGTAGCGCTACGATCGCTTTGAAGAACGGGGCCACGGACCCCAGACCAGACAATCCAGTGATCAACATCATAAGCATCCTTCTACTCAACTGGGATACGATGACATGTGTCAACCAAGTCAACGAGCCTGACCACCCGATCCCGTTAGTCTCCTCTTACGACAAGCATGGGTTACTGAAGACCAATGCTAATCCGGATCTTCACGGGGGTACACAACGTGGAAGATTATTGATTAACTGTGTAATACGGTGAGCCATTCAGAGTTAGCTATCAAGTGTTCATTCCAAGCGCTGCTTCATCCGAACACGTATGTCATCGTGCAGTACCTGTGCGCAAGTGGTTTTTATTGAGTCATGTGCAGAAAGTCAATTCCGCCGGAATAATCTTAGGGCACATGACACATTACTTCTCCCAGCCTCTGCGTATCAATCGATGGTTTTGGGGCGGGGGGACAACCAAGTGGTTAAAGCGTTGGCCTCCATGCCGATTACCCGGGTTCGACTCCCCACATGGGTACAATGTGTGAAGCCCATTTCTGGTGTACCCCGCTGTGATATTGCTGGAATATTGCTAAAAAAGCGGCGTGAAACTAAATTCACTCACGATGGCTTTCACTGCTGATAATGATGACTCCGTTACGTTACAAGCAGTGCAGTGACCAGTGAGCTTTGATCACACAACGAACGTTAATTTAATGCAATTCGTAGTAAAACACACTACATGCGAATTTGCATCATGATATGTGTAAGTAAATGAAAATCTTAAAAAAAGGGAAATACATAAAACTTGAGTAGAAATAAAAAATAAACAATTATTCTTTATGATGGTTTTCCATTCTCATATCTTCTGATAGTGTATTATAAAAATATTTAAATGGTGACAATGTACAGTGACTGGCAGGAAGTTGATAATATTAGTAATAATGTTCCAGGTACACATTTAGATTAAATAATTTTAAATGAGAATAAACAAACATTTACGTAAACAATGAATGCACGAAAAAGTATATATATTCATAGATTCGATGCTTGTCGATGGTAATGGATGTAATGTGGAGGTGAGGTGAGGTGAGGTGAGGTGAGGTGAGGTGAAATTGGGTTTAACGTCGTACTTGAGAATATTTCGCTCATATGACGACGTGCATGCCATGCATGTGTATGTGCGGCTGCTTGTACTAGCCCAGACTTAAGCTGGTTTTATAGTGCTAGCCCACTGAGATACCATGCCGCAGTGAAGCATGAATACCCCACTCAGACACATTATACTGACTCCGAGCCGACCAGTCCTTGTTGTACCCATTACTGCCGAGCGCCAGACAGGGACCAACAAGTACCATATTTTAACGTCTTTTGGTATGACGCGGTGGGGGTTAAACCCGCGACCTTCCACTCTCCGGGAGGACGCTCTAACCACTACACCACGGAGGCGGTCTGTAATGTGGAAGTACATATATGAAGAAGTACTTGAACACAGATAACTATGTATATACCTTAATCTTAGGGAGGCAGCACATTAAGTCCACAATTAGACGCCAGCAAACGAATTCAGAGGCAACAATACAACTCCTCGGATAGCACCTCATGGAACATTAGGTGGCTGTATGTTATGTATGTAGGAAAGACATCGACTATAAAAGGTCAAATCAAATTCATGATATCATTACGAAATTTACGAAGATAAAAATGGCAAAATTAAATGCTACTGACCAAACTATCGCCATTGGACGTTTGGAAGCAGTGGAGTTCCAGTCTGCCGTTGCAAGACGCTTCAACGTCCACCACAGCACCATATCTCGATTATGGCATCGATATACCCTTTTAAATTCGAACCAAGATCGTCCCAGAAGTAGAAGACCAAGAGTGACCACTCCTGCTCAGGACCGATTCATCTGGGTGTTTCGCCTACGTCACCGATTTGCTACGGACCGGATACTGCAGGAAAGGTGCCTGGTCTTCGAGGAATTTTCGACCAAACAATCAGAAATCGTCTGAGAGAAGTGGGAATTTTGAACATGTCGACCAAACGTTGGGCCTGTCCTGACGCCACAACACCGACAACGACGTCTCCAGTGGTGACACAGGGTACAGACATGCTGGGGAACTGACGACGCGTTTGGTTCAGCGATGAATTGCGTTTCCTCCTGGGAGATAACGTGTCTATCGGTGTCGACACGAACGTTTTGCGCCGAATTCTACGACAAGGGGACAGCTTTGGTGGGGATAGCGTCATGGTGTGGGAAGCCATGTCCTCCACGAGTAGATCAGAGCTAGCGGTGGTTCAAATCAATTTTACAAATCGACCAAATCTCCTCCCACTTTCTAAGAGCCAGAGAGAGCTGTTTCAACACGACAACGATAGATCCCACAATGTCCTTCCCTGGCTTTCACATCGCCTGTGTCTAGTCCAGACTCCATTATTTACAGACCGCCACCATTTAGCTGGAATATTGCTGAGGGGCGGCGTACAACTAAACTCAATCAATCAATCAATCAATCCAAATCGCCTTATCTGAACTGAAATTGTATGTCCTGAAAATTTAATAAATGACCATTGAAACTCTCGTAAAAACGGGTGAAAATGTAGTTCTGATAACTAGGCAGTTCAAACATGACTTTCTTTCTGTACAAAACTATATTTCTGACAGCTGTATACGTCGGCCAAACATGACTTTATGAAAACTAGGCCAGTTGAACGCGAGTTTTATTTCTACATTTCTGAAAACTACGTTGGTCAAATATATCTTAACCTCTGAAACAATACTCCAGTCGAACACGAATGTATGCCTACCAGCTACACCAGCCGAACATGACTCTATATCTGAAAACTGCGGAAGTACAAATTCACTGATGCAGTTATGTTATCTTCTGTAATAGGACTTCTGCTGCTCCATAACAACTGTGTTCGATACTTGTAGCCGAGCGAATACCCAACCAGATGACTCTTCTCGGCGCAGGAACAGTTACAGTTGAATGTTTTTAATGACACTGAATTCCAAATGTGATTCTAGTGACTATGTTTGGATCCCGCCAACATTGGGCTGGAGGAAAATGTCTGACGCCAGTGCCATTCCTCTGGGGTTTAATTAATTGATACATTTTATACATTTTCCCAGTAAAACAGCAATATCACATTATAACTAAATAATGTTAGATGTTACTAAAGGATGAAGACACAGATTAGATGTAATAAACTGTGTAGAATTAACATAGATGATAACCTACTTTGCGAGATTTGCTCTTACGAGCAAAACTGTATATTTTTCACACGATGTTACGAGTGCCTCTTTTCCAGGCAAAAACGAATGACAAAATTAACACAGCGTTTGCCTTTTTATAGTGATCGATACCACATGCTTTTCCGCTTACTTACACGTGCATTTAGCTTTACATAATTTCTTGTTGACATTTTGGCGAATATTATTTCAAACGCTTCTAAAACAAGGGGGGGGGGTAGTTAAAATGGCCGCGTTTTGTTGCTGATGCTGTTTACAATCACACAAAGATGACGTGTTGGAAAGAAATAGTTTATTTGTATTGTTTTTTGCCGCAGCTACATGAGTCCAATATTCTCAAAATCACACATGCGTTTCTTTTTTTGCAAGAGTGTATTACACACTAAAAAAACGTAGTATTACGGTTAATAAATTTGCCGTGACAAAAGGTTTAAAAGTCCCCTTTGGACCAGCAATATAGAACACAGACAAGTCTAAATTATTCAATAATATATTGAGCAAACAATGAGCAAGCTACAATGAATGATAATACAGATTTCTAGTTCAATGCAAATGAGTTACAAATCTAAAATATTGGGTCACAAATATCAAATATTAACTCACCAGAGTCTTGACATTCACAGTGAGAACAGATATACAGATTGAAGGTTGTTTACAATGACAGTAGTTGAGTAGTCAAGCACGGTCTTGAAATGCTCGATGACGGCAGACAGATGTGAATAACTCCAGTCATGTAATAGGTGAGGTGAGGTGAAATTGGGTGTAACGTCTTGCTTGAGAATATTTCGCTCATATGACGACGTGCATGCGTGTGTATGTGTAGGTGCGGCTGCTTGTACTAGCCCAGACTGAAGCTGGTTTTATAGTGCTATCTCACTGAGATACCATGCCGCAGTGAAGCATGAATATCCCACTCAGACACATTATACTGACTCCGAGCCGACCAGTCCTTGTTGTACCCATTAATGACGAGCGCCAGGCAGGGACCAACAAGTACCATATTTTAACGTCTTTTGGTATGACGCGGTCGGGGATCGAACCCGCGACCTTCCACTCTCCGGGCGGACGCTCTAATCATGTAATACGTCCGTCGCACAACGCCACAACCAGCCTTTATATAGCTCTTTCACAGTTCTCGAGCATTCTAGCAAAGCTAGGCTGTATCATTATCCATTCAGAACTTTATAGAAATCCGTCGAAATCGGTTGAAAACTCCACGGCATGATGAAAGCTGTAAATAAACAAGATTGCCAAGGGAGGCAACTCTGAAGAGCTATCAAAAAGGCGTGATGCATCGCCAGAACCATCCAATGATCGTACTGCTGGGGCTTTTTAGATACCCAATTTATCGATCGCTAAGGTGTTCAGATTCCCTGATTATCTTTGTTTTGCAGCTGAACTTTTGTCTATTTTGCAAGCATTGAGATGGGTAGATGAACGTGACCATGAAGCAATTATGTTGACAGATTCCATGGCAGCAATCAAAGCTATAGAAGCTGGTGCAAATGGATCTAGAGATGACATTGTTCATGAGATATTAAAGTTGGATACATCTTTAAACCTGAAGTACATTGCATGCGACATTGTGTGGGTCCCAGCACATGTTGGAATACATGGGAATGATTAAATCCGGATTACAGCTTCCTGATGTTGACATATTTAAATTTCAACCAATCCCTATAGATTTTGAAAATGTTTTATCGAAATCTGTTACAAGGAATTGGCAACAGTTGTGGGATACGGGTACTACCGGCGTACAAATGTACAAACTTAGACCATCTTTAAATCTGGTCATAATATTCGTCGTCGCAAAAGGCGTGATGAGGTTATTCTATCACGTCTCAGACTTGGACACTGTGGGCTAAATGCTAACAGGAGTATTATAGATAAGACGGTCTCTTCTAAATGTGGCCATTGCAATTTGGAGACGCCTGAAAACATCGAACATTATCTAATTACATGCCCTGGGCATAACAACATAAGATATTATCTCTGAAGTGCTGAACTTGATGTTGATGATGTATTTTCCCTAGAAACAGTTTTGGGCCCCAATATCATGTATGGGTCTGTGCAACGGACAGTTTTAGATTTTGTCTCGTCATCTGGAAAATATGATGTAATCTAGACAGGCTCTCGAATGACTTAGACAGATTTAGTTCTGTGGTTTTAAATCGTTTTAACACTCTGTCATCTGAACCTACTGCTTTTTTAATGAATGAATATTTCATGTTTCAGAAATGGAAGTGATTACTTAAGGTTTTTAATCCGTAACACAAAGCAGAGGTTATTCGATATATGTATACATCTATCCAAATTAATATTAATAGTGTTGTCGTTTCTTTTATCTTAACTAAACGATTCCTTTTGGCGATGAAATTACCTGTGATTGTTTATTAAAACAAGTCAATGTGTTGGGCACAAATAGGCCTCTTATTGGTCCACGTCGCCCTAAAACTATAAGACCGCCTCCGTGGTGTCCGCCCGGAGAGCGGAAGGTCGCACGTTCGATCCCCGACCGCGTCATTGAATAGATAAATGATGCGAGATGTGACCCCTGCCCCACACTCAAAACTTTACAACAAGGATTGTGAGTCAGTAATAATGTATCACTTAATCAATGTTTCTACTTCACTGCGGCACTGGTATAACAGTGGGCTACGTGACTATAAAACCACCTTACGTCTGGGCAAGTACAAGCCGCACATACACATACACACGCATGCACGTCGTCATATGAGCGAAATATTCTCAAGTACGACGTTAAACCCAATTTCACCTCACCTCACCTGAGTGAGGCATTAAACAACAGACATATAAGCAAAGAGTGACACACAGTGGTATACCAGGAATACTCTCAGAAGCTGCGATAAACTTACTCACTCACACAAGTATGAATGAGTTCAGTTTCACGCCGTTTTAGCAATATTCCAGCAATATCACGGAGAGGGACACCAGAAATGGGCTTCACACATTGTACCCATGTGGGGAATCGAACCCGGGTGACGAACGAACGCTTCAACCACCCCGATAAGACCAGAAAGGGAAATCGCGAATTCCTAAGATTCCCACTTCAGACGATGGTCAAATAACCAGGGCAGTCATTTTCTTTGTAGATAATGTGTTATTCACATCTTTTTTCAACGTTGAGGTTTTATGAACAATTACTTCTTCAGTGGAGCAATATTTGTAACAGAAATAGCAGTTACTGTATTTTGTGTGATGACATCATGTATCGTTTGTAGTGTGTAAAACAAGCCTCCATGACTTAAAACTAGTAACACAACAGAAAACTGTGTTCCAGCATTATTACCTAAGCCTCATACCCGTCCAGATCCGGGTAGAATTGGTCTTCAGCAACCCAGACTTGTCGTAAGAGGCGACTTACGGGATCTGCTGACTTGTTTGACATATGCCATCGTATCCCAGTTGCGTACATCAATGTTCATGCTGTTGATCACTGGATTGTCTGGTCCGGGGGCCTGATCCTCATAATGATTTAAATTGTCATTATCTTCATTATGATAAATTGTAGAGTTACGACAGGTCGTAACATTACGAACGCTTTGTGGATCGGGACCCTGACTTAGATCGTGAAAGCCATGATAGACCTCTGATAAACTATAGAGTTACGACAGGTCTGATCCTCATAATGATGATAAATTGTCATTATCCTTATTATGATAAAGTGTAGAGTTACGACAGGTCGTAACTTTACGAACGCTTTGTGGATCGTGACCCTGACTTAGATCGTGAAAGCCATGATAGACCTCTGATAAACTATAGAGTTACGACAGGTCGTAACGTTACGAACGCTTTGTTGATCGGGACCCAGACTCGATTATTTACAGACAGCCACCATAACGCTGGGATATTGCTGAGTGCGGCGTGAAACAAGAAACAATCAAAACCTCGTTGACAAAGAGCGCCCATCTGGCCACCGTAAACTTCAAAATTCTGCTTTCAGAAATGAGTGAGTTGGGTTTTACGCTGCTTTTAGCAATATTCCGCTTACACGGGGGCCTTCAGAAATGAAGCATCCCCAACTGACATTATAAATAAACACAAACTCAAAAATATATTTATACCCTATAGTTTAATTAACCAAGAAATAGCCACTCAAAGTGATCTTTGGCAAATGAAGAAGCTAGGTTCACTACATGACATAGATAGCCATTCCCCGGTGGCTCCGTTCAAGTAGCCGCACGCTGCATTGGTGAACTGTTCTAATGCTCCGGCGATGCCGGCGTTCCTGCTTCTCCAGGGGGCTTCGACGGCGGAACCATCAGTCCAGTAGAACTCTCCCGTCTCGTCTATGTCAATAGCGCCCACGTAGTAGGTGTCTGCAAGCAATTTGAGTGAACAGATTTAGTTTTAAGCCGCGTTTAGAGATTTTTCTTTTCTCTTTTTTGTAATTTCCTGTAATATCAAGAACATCGGGAGTGAGTTTAGTTCTACGCCACACTCAGCAATATTCCAGCTTTATGACAATGGTCTGTAAATAATCGAGTCTGGACCAGACAATCCAGTGATCAACAGCATGAGCATCGATCTACGCAATTGAGAACCGATGACATGTGTTAACCAAGTCAGCGAGCCTGACCACCCAATCCCGTTAGTCACCTCTTATGACAAACATGTGTTACGGAAGATCAATTCTAACCCGGATCTTCACGGGTAAGATCAGCGGGAAATGTTCTATGGATATACAACTTCTTTATTATTAATGTAACGTTCCGGTGTAGATGCTGACACCGTTATCAAGCATTTACACCGAAACTTCGCTTATATTAATGATAAAGAAGCTGTATATCCATAGAACTTTCTCTCTTGTTCACCACGCCAACTTCTAAATGTGAGGTGAGGTGAAATTGGGTTTAACGTCGTGCTTGAGAATATTTCGCTCATATGACGACGTGCATGCGTGTGTATATGTATGTGCGGCTGCTTGTACTAGCCCAGACTGAAGCTTGTTTTATAGTGCTAGCCCACTGAGATACCATGCCGCAGTGAAGCATGAATACCCCACTCTGACACATTATACTGACTCCGAGCCGACCAGTCCTTGTTGTACCCATTAATGCCGAGCGCCAGGCAGGGACCAACAAGTACCATATTTTAACGTCTTTTGGTATGACGCGGTCGGGGATCGAACCCGCGACCTTCCGCTCTCCGGGCGGATGCTCTAACCACTACACCACAGAGGTGGTCACTTCTAAATGTCACTCAAAGAGGCTGTAATACCACAAGGAATACTTTGAATGGTTATCGAGGTCTCGATGGGAATCGAACCCAGCGCTTTGGGCTAACCGATAGAAGTCGTTTGGATCACCATAAAATGGCGTAAATGCCATTTGATCTCAGTGAATGTAAAGTGAAACCAGTTGGTCCCAGACACGTTATTTCGGTCACCCTGTATTCTGTAAGTTTAGACCGCGTTATAAATCCTCACAGGTCATCCTTGTTGTATGAGGACACTGTCTAAGTTTAGTTGTTAGGGTGTACTTGAAGCTAAGGGGCGGTCAGCCAGTGGTTAAAGCGTTGGCTCGTTCGGTTCCCGACATGGGACAATGTGTGAAGCCCATTTCTGGTAGTCCGCCGTGATATTGCTGGAATGTTGCTAAAAGCGGCGTAAAACTAAACTCAGTCAGTGAAGTTAGATCCCCCATGGTCCGGGTAATCAGCGATCATGGAATTCTGAAGGTCTAACGTTGGGAACCTGTCTCTTCATTATATAGATGATAGTTTCAAGAAATTCTCAAACGCGATTAGGTAAACAAGATAATAATTACGATGAGTCGTTTGATTTGGCAGACTCGACGTACGCGGGTGTATTAATAGAGAAAACAAAATCGGAACCCTCCTCGTACCGGCCACAAACAAATCTTCACTGATCATCCCGTCAACAATTCGGTACAATAAGATGGTCCACTTGATGGTGAAAATAGTGTCAAACGGCCTCAAAATAACATTTTAAAATCTTACCATTGAGTTTGTTGTCAAGCATGTAACTTGTGACAGCATTGTCAAGGCTCTCCGTCTTAATCATCAGGAGATGGGTATGCATACTCTCGCAACTGGTCTGGAACAAAGGTGTACCTTGTCTAGAGTTGAACCTCGTTAATCTAGAAAACCGCTGGTATACGATTACTGTTTGAAATGTCTACATTTACGCAAACCAAAGATGAAATATACCATAACATAATCAAATCATATAGATATATTGATAACCGATAATGAACGTTAATAACCGATATGATCAATTTAAGGGGAGATAACCGTGGTTGGTTGGGTTGGTTTGTTGTTTAACGCCGCACACAGCAATATTCCAGCTATATGACGGCGGTCTGTAAATAATCGAGTCTGGACCAGACAATCCAGTGATCAACAGCATGAGCATTGATCTATGCAATTTGGATACGATGACATGTGTCAACCACGTCAGCGAGGCTGACCACTCGATTCCGTTAGTTGGGTCTTACGACAAGCATGGGTTGCTGAAGATCATTTATCTTTACTGGAACCATTTTTGGCGAAACTAACTGACTCCATGGGGATTATGAACCCCCAACACGCTGCTTCCTCATGGCACTGGCTACACATAACAAGGATTTTGAAAGTACTATATAGACTGAGGATCAAAAGAAACTATATTTTTCAGTTAATAATCTTAATTGGAAATATCTTAAAGATGGATGTTTAATCCAAGAAAAGAAATGCACCTACGCCCAGTGTGCACTCAAAGAATTCATCCACATGGTTTTGGTTTTCATAGATATCGACAATAAGTAAAAACATTCTAACAATTAGGATAAATAATTAACATACCAGTAATAATAATCTAAGAAATCATAACAAGAATATCAATAAATTCGCTTTTTCGGCAACATACGTACCACGGCTTCGGCAAACGTTGCCTGGCTCGGAACAAACCTCATGCAGGCGTCTTCTACAGTGGTAAATCCCGAAGGACATTTTCCTGGAATTGTGAAATAAACACGGAATTTTAGCATGAAACAGAAAAATACATTCTTAATTTTCTATAGAGAATATACATGTAAATTGGGGGGATTTATAACTTGATAAAACTTCTAATTTCTTTTTAATTCAGAGGTTTCGATTGTATATTCATAAACGCTGGCGGACCAATCAGAATGTGGGATTTTAAAATCTCGCAGTAGTAAATATTATGGCACTCCTTACATTATAGTCGACGTGTTTACTTTTAATGGCATAACGTCACTGTTTTATACACTTGAGTCCTGTTCCACGAGGTGGTAGCCTTCGTAGCGTTACGACAATCGTAAACGAGTCATTATAATTCGGTTTACGGCCATCGCAACACTACGTACAAGGCCCTAGATCCTGCATGATCCTCGTGGCGTTCGTAGAGTTACGACACTCGTAGATAAGTCGTTGTACATAGATTTACGACAATCACACCACTTTGTGGATCGGGGTGTGCCATATGCTTATACCTGTAATTTCTACTTCACAGAAGCTGAGAAGGTCCACCTTGGTCCTTAGACGCCTACGCTTAGTGATGCGTACATATCTTCCGGTAACGTCGCCTTCGCACTGAAGTCTCACGACATCTCCATCATCAGCTGGCCCACTGAACGTCGTACACAACGTTCCTTCAGCGTCACTGATGACGTCAGGGTTTTCTGTGTACACGGTCACAGTCAGCCTCCTGAGTCTCTCACCTGAAGAACAAAAATGCAGATGCAAACCAAAAAAAACACCTAAATTGGGGATATGGCTGCAAGGTATTACTCGCATACCGGTCTAATACCGCAATACCGCTTTCAAACGATACGCATTGCAATATTGTTTTCTCAGAACCGATATATTACGTAATAAAAATAAATTAAGTTTTGTGACAGTTAATCCAAAAGGGAAAATACAACAAAAAACAAAATAAAAAAAAAAAAAAGAAAAGAAAGGGAAAAAAAGACAAGAAGAAAAAAAAAAAAAAAGGTTTTGATTACCTCTATGGTTTCAGTTTCAATCTACAAAGACTTTCATTCACACTGAAGTTTTCTATTGTAATTAATTGCGAAAACAGTATACTTTACATGCAATAAAAAGAAAACATAATTCCTCAAAATCAAATCTAATATGAGGTTTCTGTCTTCACAACCATAACAATTATATTTAGGGACATGGGCTCTCCATTTACAATCTGTCAATTACTGTCAAACACTGAAGATCCCATTATATCGCAATACGTATCGGAATATGGGTACCAGGGCCCCGTTCCTCAAAGCCATCGGAGCGCTACGACTGTCGTAAGTCTATGTTAAAGTATGGGAGTTACGATCACCTTAGAGCTACGACTGTCGTAAGTCTATGTTAAAGTATGGGAGTTACAATCATCTTAGTGCTACGACTGTCGTAAGTCTATGTTAAAGTATTGGAGTTACAATCACCTTAGCGCTACGACTGTCGTAAGTCTATGTTAAAGTATGGGAGTTACGATCACCTTAGCGCTACGATCGCTTTGTGGAACGGGGCCCAGAATCGCAATATATTGCCATACAATTTGTTTGCAAATTCACAGCCCTAAAGGACCGTTCATAATTTGTGTCTAGTGTGGGGTGATGATGATTTTTTTATGGACCTTGTTATTTTGTTGCTTAACACTGCACTCAGCAATAATCCAACTATATGGCGGTGGTTGATAAATAATCGAGACTGGACCAGACAATCCAGTGTTTGACTTCGTAGGCATCGATCTACGCAATACAGATACGATGACATGTGTCAACCAAGTCAGCGATCCTTACCACCCTGTCCCCCGAGAAGTTTTAAATTAGATCTTCATAGTTTAAGACTTCATTAAATGCAGACAACCTAATCTAGTTGCAATATTGCTAATTGCGGCGTATAATGACATTCAGTAGTGTTTCTCTGTGGTTGCAATGACCGTACCGCAGCAGTCTTCCCTGTTGTAGATTACGACGTTGTCGACGGCGATGACCTGTTCCAAGTCCACCATCCACCAAGGCTCTGTGTCGAGTTTGCTTGTAGCGAAGCAGGACGAGGAACTCCAGTCACCGTCGGTGTTGCCGTCGGTGGCGAGGGAGCCGTTAAACGTGTCCCATGTACTGCTGGTCGTGACTGGTTTACCAAGGGCATAGTTTGCGGTGGCTGAAACAAAGTGCCGGTATAGCTTATAACGAAACCTCTGGAAACAGGACACGAAACATAAATACTAGGGCTGCGCAATGTAACCGGTTTACCGGAATTTACCGGTTCAGACATGAAAAGGTTACGCTGATCGAAAACCGATATTTTGACTTGCATTCGGAAAACTTCGTAACACTCGGAAATCTTCGGATATTTCCTTATTTCATTTGTGCCAAATATTATTTACATTTTCATTTTGTCATGATTAAAATTTGTTATTAAAGCTTAATGAAGTATAGTGATTTTGTTGTGTTTTTGCTTTATATATCGAGTGTTAACTCGATTATAAGTAGTGTTTTGTTTAAAAATACTTCTTGCAATATATTGCAATACACATCGCAATATATGCTTTCGCATCGCAATATATCGCAATATGAAAATTCCCTGCAATACCCACCCCTAATAAATACAAAACATATCTAAAATTCCTTTTGGGGGGCTTCGGCGTTCCGATTTCCATGATATCTCTAGTAAAATTGGAAGCGAAGCAGAAAACATTACATTACAGTTCCTAGCAAGCAGGTCACTACAGCTCAGTTAGAAAAGAATTAACAGTTACTTGTAAACTGGTTTTGATCTTTGCAGCAGAGTAGGAGTTCTTACCTTGGCCAACCAGGGATGCGATGAGGAGGTACTGGATCATTGCGGGATGTAAAGACAATGTATCCTCCAGCGTCCGATCCCGGGTCCTTTATAGTCCTCGTCCTGATCTTGATCTACGTCCACGCGATTAATTAGCCACTTTAAGTCCCCCAACTTGTCAGTGCTGACCCAACATGTTACATTGACCACTGGTCAATACTGTATCGGTGTTACATTTCCCTCCCCCGCGACCTCTTACATAAAACCACCCTCTCCATAACCTGCAGATAGCCTTGACCAGATGTTGCGCAGAAACTGTCAGAGAGACCTTGACCTTTGAGAATTTTCATTGCCTGCGCACATTCGAAGACCCGGTCTTCGGAAAAGAAAGAATGCAGTCATGTTTGACGTTGCTGGAATTAAACAAGCAATGGTTACGCTAGCATATACGTATATATGGTACGATCATAGGAGGTGAGGTGAGAGGTCTCACAACGTGTTTCAACGCCGTACTTGAGAATAATTCAGCGTTCATGCCATGAACTTTGCCCTGCATTTTGTGATAGAAAATAACTTTTGCGGCTATGGTACTAGCCCAGACTTACAGCTGCTGACTTTATTTGAAACAAAATAAACTAAAACCATTTTTATATTCATGTTGAAGTCTACATGGATATAGCATCTGATATAGTAATGATTTAGAAGTTACTGACTCCGAGCCGACCAATGCTTGTTGTATGAATCCATTATTGCCGGCGCCATATATCTGCTGTATTGTACCATATTTTAGTGTGTTTGGGCAGAGAATTTTTCACGACTACACCACGGAGGCGGTCAGCATATCGATATAATATTACACATTGCATTGCAGTGTTTCACAACAGGTGCTACGCAGAGTTTAGCTTGATATAAAATGAACACCAACCACGCAGCGTACACAGATATTGCTTTTGTGGAACTGGTCCCGACTTTTGTTTAGTGCGTAACTGCATTGAAATAACTTTGAGGTATGACAGATGTCGGAGATTACAGTGCTGGACAATATATGTGAAACAAAATAAAATATTGGGAAAAAAACAATTTTGCATTTAATCACGCCTAATAAGCAATATTCTACATGGATATAGTGGCTTCACACATTGTGATTGAAAGTTTTTAAGAGCCAATGTCATAAAAGAAACCGCCCCTGCTGTTTGTATGGAAACTCACCGATTTTTCGGCGCATACTGGTTGTCCTTGAAATTGATCTGTTGCGTAACATTGGCGGATCAAGGTATTGCAGAGTAATTTTCATATTGCGTATTGCGTGCGTGCATATATTGCGATATGTATTGCAATATATTGCAAGTTATTTTTAAACAAAAACTCCGTATAATCAGTTTATGCGTCATTACTCTGCAAAAAACGAACACAACAAAATGAACTATGCTTGATTAAACTTTAATAAACCACTTTGTGGAACATAAAACCCAGTTACTTTAACCAAAAACGTAATGTATACTTGTCCATATCCAAATTAACTGTGTATCGAATGAAATATTGCTTGTTTGATAACATAGTCAATCGGCGAGGGCGAAAACATCATGCTACCCCAAATTTTGAGGAGGTGCAGCGAAAGTAACAGCCATGCGTTCATGTGAGAAGAACGTTCACAGACAAAGTTATTTCTTCATTAACCTGTGCTATTGCCATCCGTTCTCGATCACCTGGCTTGTCCTATCTCACTCCTCCCTCGTAACAAATAGTGTACTGTGTCAAATATTTATGATAGATTGTTAAACAGTTTAACGTGTTCAATTCACTTTAGTTTACTGACAATTCACATGCCACGACTTAGCGAAGCTGACCACATCGCCATCCGGTAGGCTGGCGAATCTCAGTCATTAGTTGCAAGACACTTCAGCGTGCATCACACAACAATTTCCTGTTTATTGGTTTCGCGCTACATTCAACTGGGCTCGACCCGCGACCGACCTCAGAGTGGTAGACCACGGGTAACCAATGCTGCTGGGACCGCTACATCCGGGTGTTCCATTTTACGTAACCGGGCCGTCCAGCAACACAAACTATATAGAGAACGTCCCAGGTCTTCGCCGCGTCTCCATGAACCAACGAAATCGCCTCGAAGACAGCACAGGATACGCCCTCGACGACCTCACGTTGCTACCTCATCATCGCCTGGCACGTGTTCGATGGTGCAGGAACGTCAGAGATGGAATTGGAGACATTGGCAGCGAATTTGGTTCAGCGACGAATCCTCGTTTCAACTTCAAAGACACGATGGTAGGACGAGGGTCTATAGACGGAGAAACGAACGTTACGCCCGTAATTTTAAGTTAAACGGACAGATTTGGAGGAAGTGTGATGGTATGAGAGGCATTTCTTACAACGGGAGAAGTGACTTAGGGTGCACGTCCGTGGTAAACTGCAATTACGTTACAGGGATGAAATTCTGCAACGTCATCTTTTTACCTGTCATCAACCCTCAACGTCACGTTTTCCAACAGGACAACGCCAGAGCTCGCATCACGATGGACTACCTGACCGATCAGAACATCACATCAAAATCCCCGATTTGAACCCAATAGAGCATTTGTGGGACCAGCTTGGGAAACGCGTTCGATCTGCCTCAACCCCAAACGTTACAACAGCTGTCTCAAGCCTTGCAGGATCCATGGAGTGTGGATGATTCAAAGACTGATCATGTCCATGGACAGGAGGTGCCAAGCTGTGTTGCAAGCTCGAGGTGGTCACAACAGGTGCTGACCTCACGCCCGGTGCAATGGTTTCAGAAACAGATGTTTCTGTTGGGTACAGAGGTTTCAGGACCATGTGCCTTATTTATGTTTTGTGCACTTACCCGGTATACCAATTTCGAGATATTTAATCATTCCTCGTTCTCATTTGAACCCAAACGGACTGTAGTACTATTTCAAAGGTAAGATAACTCTGAATTTCCAAACATGGCTACTCCTAGAAAACAACAATTAATTCATAATACAACACGAAAGTCACTTGAAGTAGTTTCTTATGTCGTTAACAAATATCAGTAACAAGATAATTATATAATCACGAAAATAATCATGAAAATCGATAATCTCAAAGAAACTATTTGACCTCATTTCACATTTTACTACGCGCGATTTGATTGGTTTGCCACGATTCTTGGCAATAATGGCGTACTATTCAGGTACGCGTCTTCTTGAGGGTCACGGAAAGAGGCCAGTGGTTACGAAAGACATCAGCCAGTCAGGCAGCCTCCTTCTGATCCAATTATAGTGACTTCTTACACGGAGCATGTGTTTCTGAAGACCAATTCCAACCTTATGAACACGGGTCAAAACGCCATTGAATCTGGTGGATGACTTTTTTGCAATCGTCAATAATCTGATATAAAGTCTGATAGATGAGCTAATTGGTGAATATTTAAGTCAAATCAGTTTCAAGCCATGAGGCAACTTCAAATAATACGGGATTCCAAATCAGATGAACTTTATGTCTCTCCTTTAACCATTGAAGATCCGGGTTATAATTGATCTTCAGCCACATCTGCTTGTCGTAAGAGGCGACTAACGGGATCGGGTGGTCAGGACCACTGACTTGGTTGACACATGTCATCGTATCCCAATTTCGTAGAACGATGCTTATGCTCTTGATAAGTGGATTGCCTGATCCCGACTCGATTATTTACAGGCCGCGGCCATACAGCTGGAATATTGCTGAGTGCAGCGTTAAACAACAAACCAAAACCAAACACGATATCTGGGCTATCCCCCCCAGCCCCGGTCGTACACAGACACCTGGTATGTTTGCTGGCACACTTGCAACTGGTGGGGAAATATTTAAAAATAAAGGAGAGTTTTGCCTCCGTCGCTATTGTTTTTAACGGAAAGAGCCTAAGATATGTTTATGCAATCTTACGAGTGTGTAGATAAATAGTAAGGAAGAATTTCATTTACAGTTCGTCCAAGCATTTCTGTAATATCGTTCTCAAATGATCATAGACAGCCCAAACACATATGTATCGTATCAATACACACATTGATTTGAATTGACAATGTTTCTGAAATATCTGGGGTTCAATTGTTATAACGTTAAACTACATGTTGCCCTTTCAAAATGTGCGTAAACAATCGGAATTAAAACAACATGTTTTAAAACTAATTTTCTATTTATTTGTGATGTCTCATAAGAGTGGTAACATAACTTTATTATTTGATTTGTTCCATTACAGAAACAGACATTTTTTTTTACGAATTCCATATCAAAGGAATTCGGATCGATTGCAACGTAAAAACACAACTTTGCAAAATTGAATCATTAAAGGTCACATGCAACGTAAAACACAACTTTGCAGATTCTGATGGTGTCTTTTTCGGTATGGACTTGCCTGAAACAAATCATCATGAAAATGATAAAAATTCAACTGGTTTCACAATTATGAAAGTTGTCAAAAATATGTGACGCGATGAAAAAACCGCGCGAAATCGGAGTTCAAACGATTCACTAATTTTTCTGCCCCAGCGCTTTGGGGAAAAGTGGTTTTCAACAAGTACTCTTCTGGGCTGGGCTAATTAAACCACTCGCTGGGCTTCGCAAAATTATTCCAAACATAGCACATGCGCAGTGAAATAGGTTGCGCAGCTTGGAAGCGGGTTGTCCGGTGATACTCTTTACTCGGTGAAGGCTTTGGTGTGAGCTATTTTTCTAATGTTTTGTTGATGCGTGCGATTTCACAGGCAATATATTATGACAGTAGATTACCGATTTCCCAAACTGTTTATATTATTTCATTTGTCTATTTCACCACACGTTCTTCTTACCGAGTTACTTTCTCAGTTCTATACTTAAAACAGTAGATTACCGTCATTATTTAGCACTGATTTAGCGTTGATAGAATTTCTAACTGTAATATAGATATGTCGTTGATATAGACTCAATGTCTGTTTTATTGACACCTATATATCTGCCTGCCTGTCTGCTAATGGCAATATTCAATACACAACTTCGATCACTGACTACATGCAATTTGAACTTAACACCTATCAGGCTATAGGCTACACCATACACAAAACGCATTGATTTATGGCCCGAGTTCGGTCTCTGTCACATTATGTATGTAATTACAGACAGACAGGTGTGATACTTGTACACATGACATGTTATGATGTCTGTTGATTGCAAAATGTTATACACAAAAATGAGCATGTATTTACAAAACCCAACATCTCTA